GAATCAAAAGGCCTTTAAGCTAATTTTTGTTAGTTAATTTAGTACTATGTAAACAGATAATATATTGCATATAAACATATAAGTTCATAGAAGGAAACTTTAAGGCTTACATCTATCATTTGCTAGTATTAAAAAACAGACTAAGAACCTGATATTGAAAGCAATCTGTTAAATTTTAAATTTGTATTTCCAAATTTGAGGCCAGTTAGAAATTTACATCTTTTTAAAAATATTTTTTTTAGTTGTAGATGGATACAATACCTTTATTTTATTTATTTATTTTTATGTGGTCCTGGGGATTGAACCCAGTGCCTCACACATGCTATGCAACACTCTACCACAGAGCAACTACCTGGGCCCCAGAAATTTACATCTTAAAGACTAAGGCTAGCAGCCTGTGTGGAAAAATTTGCCTATAATCCCAGAGCCTCTCTGGAGGCTGATGCAGAAGGATCAGGAGTTCAAAGACAGCCTCAGCAATACATAGAGGTTCTAAGAAATTTAGTGATACCCTGTCCCCTGTTGAGAGAGAGAGAGAGAGAGAGAGAGAGAGAGAGAGAGAGAGAGAGACAGACAGACAGACAGACAGACTTAATTAGATAAAATAAAACAAAAATATAATTTAAGCAAGCCAAAAGAAGCAAAATCATGGGGTGGGGAAGGGAAAAAAGCTCAAATAAAGCAATCACAGATCACTTTAGTCCATTTCTTTTTGACAAAGGCCTATCTGATGAAGGAAGCAAGGACTATGTTTAGAAAATGTTTTGGGTAAGTAAAATGTGCTACTTTTAGGAGTTTCTTCCCACGTTTTACCAGTGGCCCAGAATATCCACCTTAAATGTTGAGAGGGGAAAACATCACACACTAAGGAGTAAATGGGGTTAGCTTGAAGTGTGGGTTGACCAGACCCTTATGCACCATCTGCATGAGCTTCCTGAAGTTCCTTCTAACCCAGTGATGGGATGGGGTATGTTCTGCAAATGAATCCCCTATGCTAGTGGATAAACATGTTGCTATAGCCATCAGAATATAGCCTATTGAAGCCCACTGTCAAGTTAATAAACATGAAGCAGTTAGACTAAATCAGCATGGACTTTTAGATTATTAGACCATGGTATAATCTTCCAAAACCAACCCAAACAAAGGAGTACTCTCCAAACCAATATAATTAATGAAAAATGCTTATGAGTTCTGAAGTCTATCTTACTGACCCAAAAAGCCAATGGCTTAGAAGAGCTCACTCAAGCTCCAAGCAGCTTAAGTTTTAAATGGCTTACTCAAGCCCAAAACAGCTCACTCAAGCCCAGAGGATGAATAGCTAGTACTGCAAAATGACCCAATGAGGGTCCAAAAACTCAATTATTGCAAATAAAATCCTCAGTGTGTATTCCAATGGGACTGCCAACAATGTCCTGTTGACCATTACCAATAACATTATTTTCCTTACCAGTGAAGAAATTTTTAAGTAGCTGAAGCTAGAGCAGGAAGGAAAGGACAAACTCCCTGGGATTATCTCTGGGTAGCTGTGAGACCCTTCCTGACTTTCCAGCTGCAGGTTCAGCTAGTTGTGAAAGTGTCTTAGCCCTGAGGTCTTTTCTCCTCAGAGATCTCTACAGGCCCAAGAAATATGCTTAAGGGTAGCGTTTTACTCCTAGAGTGGCCTGCCAAAACTGTTATTGACTGACTCTATTACCACTCAGGAGGAAAGAGGCTATGCTATAATGCTCACTGCTCCAGAAATATTTGGAGTCAAATTGGTAGGAAAATGGTTTTTATTTAATACCAGCTTTGAGGAAAGATAGATGAAACTTAATTGTTTTAGTTTCTATCTTCAAGAAGCTCTGGGGAGGAGGGAGTCTTTTAAAAGGAGAAAGGGATTCATTAGGACAAAAGATAGGACTTCCACAAATTTTGCTTCCAGGTCCTTGGAACCTCTTTATCATGTCAAAAGAAGCTAGGACTTCCTGGGCCTAGCATATCTATCTTCTAATTTCAGAAGTAGGTGGGGAGAGGCAAATTCAGTCTGTTTCATCAAGACTCTATTGTTCTATATAGTTTTGTAGACTTTTGGATAGATGGTCCCATTTGGCATGCATTTTAATGACTACCTTCCCACCTGTTAAGTCAGACACTTTCGGGTGCTAGAAACATGCCCTTAATTAAGGAGCACTTGGGATTTTTAATGGATTTACAATGTAAAATATTTGAATGAAAAGTATATTGAAAAACTTTGAAGATCCTTAAATATATCTCAGGATGCTACAACATAATGTGTTAATCTTGTGAAATAAATTACATTCGAACCAAATATTTGTATAAATCATCCAGTTGAATGGCTTGTTTTGTGCTATTTTTTATGCTACTAAACAATATTTGTCATTATTAAAGAGCCTTGAGTAATTACTATAGTAATTAGTATGTTACTTTTGTGTTCCTTTTAAAGATAAACAAACCAAATTTTAAAAGACACAATTTTTATGTCCAGATCTTTATCTTAATTGTATATTCATGAGGTAAAATGTTTTTAAATCATCCCCCATACTTTATGGCCCTTTGGTCACTAGAGTACAGATGATACTTTCATGAGACAAATAATGAATTTGTTCATTTCAAGTGGTTGTAAGTGAAGTAGCACAAAGGACAATCGAAGCAAAAAAAAAAAGTCAGCTTAAGTCATGTTTTTATTGAAAACATCTGTATGTTAAGCACCAAATGAGGCACATTGATATATAGGATGGCAAAGCTACAAATTAAAATTAATCCCAATTCTGATTTTGGACTTATCTACTGTTTCATTATGAACCAGCTTCTGAAAATATAAGTCCATATAGAATTAATTTTTCTCCTTCTGGAACTTTTTTTAATTAGTTGACCGGGTTGTGAACTACATAAAAAATTACATGTGTCAATGCTTTATGAAGTATGTTTATTAGTTTCCACCATTCATTTGAAAATAAAGATGTGTCACACTCAATGACTTTATTATCTTAAGGACCTTGTGTTCTATTATTAGCTTTAAGTGAGGGAGAAAGGCCCTGTATACGAAAAAAAAGTGTAAGACTGGAAATCAGTGTTGGGAAAAGATTCAGTTAGTAGCTTTGCAGTATTGGAGCCTGTAAATCCATTGTTCTCTTTGTGAGTGATAAAGTTATTAACAGTTAATATTCTTCAATTCATCACCCACCCTGTCCCCATGGTTTGAGAAGGGGTTCCCAGGATAACACTCCCAGACTTAGTGCTTCATTCTGTAGAATTTAATTGTAATTTATGATAACACTTTTATCTTTGGTTCATAATACTGTCCTTTTAAGTAGCTGAAGTCAGTGGGCTCTATGTATAAAGTTGAATATATCAACTTGATTGTAATGAAGCATTTTGGATTTATCTTTGAAAAAGCCTGAACAAGCTTAATGTGTTCATGTAGCCAAGCTCCTAATTGACTGGCTTCTTTTGACAAATTAGGCCCATGCCCAACTGGCACTAAGAGGAAATTTTGATGAACCTCTCTCCAGAATGCCCTAAAATGACATGAAGTACATGGTACCCTGCTTCGCATGTATCACTGCTGAGACATCTTCTGAGAGAAGTACTGTTCCTCTGGTTCCAAAGGAAGGAAACAGCTTTACTGACAACCTGCCATGATGATGCCTTCTTCTGTTTTCCATCATCAGCCTGCACTAAACTCTTTCATAAATGCTAAGAAAATATAAATATTTACTCCTTTATTTTTTTTAATTTTTTATTGTTGGTTGTTCAAAACATTACATAGTTCTTGATATATCATATTTCACACTTTGATTCAAGTGGGTTATGAACTCCCATTTTTACCCCATATACAGATTGCAGAATCACATCAGTTACACATCCATTGATTTACATATTGCCATACTAGTGTCTGTTGTGTTCTGCTGCCTTTCCTATCCTCTACTATCCCCCCTCCCCTCCCCTCCCCTCCCCTCTTCTCTCTCTACCCGCTCTACTGTCATTCATTTCTCCCCCTTGTATTATTTTTCCCTTTCCCCTCACTTCCTCTTGTATGTACTTTTGTATAACCCTGAGGGTCTCCTTCCATTTCCATGCAATTTCCCTTCTCTCTCCCTTTCCCTCCCACCTCTCATCCCTGTTTAATGTTAATCTTCTTCTCATGCTCTTTGTCCCTACTCTGTTCTTAGTTACTCTCCTTATATCAAAGAAGACATTTGGCATTTGTTTTTTAGGGATTGGCTAGCTTCACTTAGCATAATCTGCTCTAATGCCATCCATTTCCCTGCAAATTCTATGATTTTGTCATTTTTTAATGCAGAGTAATACTCCATTGTGTATAAATGCCACATTTTTTTTATCCATTTGTCTATTGAAGGGCATCTAGGTTGGTTCCACAGTCTTGCTATTGTGAATTGTGCTGCTATGAACATCGATGTAGCAGTGTCCCTGTAGCATGCTCTTTTTAGGTCTTTAGGGAATAGACCAAGAAGGGGAATAGCTGTGAATAAGGTTCCTTCTCTTTCCACTGTACTTGAAAATACAGGGGTAAGAATAGGAGGGAAGGGCTGGGATTGTAGCTCAGTGGTTGAGCGCTTACTTCAAATGCGTGAGGCACTGGGTTTGATCCTCAGCACCACATAAATAAATAAATAAATAAATAAAATGAAGATATTGTGTATATCTACAAGTAAAAAACTATTTACAAAAAAGAATAGGAGGGAAGCAGCATTAAAACTTGCCTGGGTTTCACCCATTTCATGTGAGTCTGTGTAAAGTCTCATGTATTTAGAAGAAATTTTATCCATTTCTAATTTCACTACTGTAGATAGAAAGATTTTTAATCAGATTAATATCTACTTCTTCAGCCAGAATTCCTAATGCAATACTAGGCAGAACCTCTAACATCTTTTAATCAATGCATTATTACATATTTTAAAGAAATGAATACTCCTTCAAGCAATCTTAATTCCAAGGCATTCGACAAATATACTTCAATAATGATAAAAATCAATAATTTTGATAATTTTTATTTTTAGAAGTTGAACAATGATTTATTACAGAATTTCTGATTAAGCAATTACCATTCTCAAAAGATTTTTTTGATATTTTTAGAGTATAGATTGAATACAAATTGAAATTGACACACTTATTGAAACAAATTGAAGAGTACTTAAAATATCCCATTGAATGTGTGTAGCATTAGTCCTCATTTTATAGTGTCTCAACTAAATGAATTTTGGCAGAAGTTTTGGCAGGGATTAATTTGTTTCAAAATTAGCATTATGAAAAACATTAAACTTATGCATTCTATTATGTGTGTGTATCTGTGTGTGTATATGTGTGTATGTGTGTGTGTATGTGTATATATGTGTGTGTATGTGTGTATGTGTGTGTATATGTGTATGTATGTGTGTATATATGTGTGTATGTGTGTGTATGTGTGTGTGTATGTGTGTGTGTTCTTGTGTGATTCTGCTTTGCTTCTTTTAACATCTTAATGATTATTCCTTTGTTTTGTTCTTCTGAGGATCTTACCTTATTTCAACTGACTCAACTACTCAGATTTTATCAGCCCTATTCATCCAAAATTTTCTAGATTTTCCATATTTTTAATTTTACCTTTTATTTTGAACAAGGGCTTTAATGAAAAAATTAATCTCGCTAAAATAAAACCACACTGTATCACTAGTGCTGCTCACAACCTGCCAGAACTTTCATGCTTCAAACCACAGGGCTGGGAAAATTGGCTTACAGAAGTCCCCTTCCATATCTCTGTGATGGGCTGGGTTTGTAGTACTGCTGCTACAATAGTAAAGCACAGATATAATTTCTTCTATCTGTTACAAAATATAGTGACTATGAAATTTCACTTTCCCTTCACTTTCTTCTTTCAGCTGGCAAAGGATATGGAAATTCCAGACCAGTTTACATCAAAATTGGAAATATCCATCACCTATGAACTGCTTCAAATATTTTCGGTCCTTTCTGTTTGGCTAACTAACATTTGAATCCCTCCTCTTCTTGATGTGTGCCCAGTTTCCTTTCTTCCATGATACCTTATTCATTAAAGCTCAGTTACACATTACAATCTCTCTTATGTGGTTACTTTGGGGTGACTTTGTAGATGCCATTCATTATTGTGTATATATACTAGAATAACTACCACAGAATACAAATGGGAGTTGAATTCCTAAGATAGATTTAATGTATTACTGCCTTAAACTATGATTTTAAGATAAAACTTATTAAGCTTAACACTGAGTAAATATAATGAAGAAACAAAATGAATTCCTTAAAATACTTTTTTTCTACATACTACCTAAATGAGAAAATCTTGAAATTCAAACATAGCAAGCTCCATTTGCTCAGCAATGAGGTACTTGCACAAAGTTCCCCCATGGCCTTTTGGTGTACAAATTTAAAATAAAGAAGACTACTTCTAAGGAAATGATTTGACATAAAAGTTTGTTTTCTTTTTAAAACTACTTCATTTAAAAAAGTCATTTGAGTTGTAAACACTCAAGGATAAGCCAGTTTTAGGATCACATTATTGTATCACAGTAACAGAAATGTGAATCACATTTATTACTTTAATTCATGGATTTAGGTTCTCCTAAATTCTTAACATTGAGCTACTACACTCTTGATAGAAGTTGTTAGGAAAATCCAAATCTTCATTTCTGGCAGCAAAGTGCCAAGAAATGATGTGCTATGATGAAATCACACAGTCAGCTGCTTCTTATTTTGGTAAACCAGGTAGTTTGAAAATTATTATCCCACTAGCACTGTCTTCAGATTTTAGAACAGAGCTAGAGGAATTATTAATGAGGTATACTTTGTGGTAGTTCTGTTGCTTCTCTATTGCTCCAGAACTAACCGTGTTATTGAGGATGGATATGCAGAAATTATGCTTTTCACCAGGTAGTAGTAACCATAGGTGACCAAACATCACCTATTTATGGCGTCTATATGTGAGTGATGGGCTAGCATGACTTTCACTACTCTAATTTTGCAGAATTAGGTATATGAAGAAGGTTATATTTTTTTCAAAATCTTTTCATTTCTTTACTTACAACATTAAGTCATTACATATGGAATTATCACTGAAATAATTTCAAATGAATTTCTGATTTTATAGTAATATAATTTGAAAATTTAAGTATTAGCAGTTGAAAATGTTGTTGTTTTGTTTTTATTTTGCCTACTAAATGAAGGGAAATTTTTATTCTGAGATTTGGTAAATATTTGGTGCTGTCTGATGGTCCTACCATTGTGTAGTTAATAATTTTGGAAAAGTCAGCCAATCTTGGGGATAAAATTTGACGCCTAAAGTATTAAAAAAAAAAAAAAAACAAAACTCTTTCTACAGTACATGTGTATTGGAGTTCAGTCCTGCATTCAGGCTTACAAGTGTATTATTTGGTGGTGTGTAAAAACAGCTATTGCACATCTTTGGGAATTATGAGGAAAGCATCTGAGGCTTTATTTCATTCTTACTGTAGGGAGAAAACCAGTTTAACGTGAGTGAAAAGAACATAACCGGTCTCTAACTGCAGGCTTAATTGTGAGAAAATGGGTGAGTTTCCTTTCTTTATTGCTATAATTTTCTCTGGGCATGCAGGTTGTTCAACCTTAGTCTGTGTTATAAAATATTCACTACAATTTTTATTTCACAATCTGACTTTTTTTATATGATAAGAAAAATTACATGTAGTTTGTTTTATCTTTCTGAGAACTTGTTCAGGGCCAATGCTGCTTGTAATCTAACTTATGACAGGTTTCTTTACTCCTTGTTGTAAATATGAATACAGATACTGTCCAAAGTGTCCTAAGAGTTTGTTTGAATTCACAGTAACAAAAGTTACAAAGTTTGTGCAAAAGATATTGTACACCACTGGAGTACATAGAGCTTGCTATAGTTAATTTTATATGTAAAGCTACATTCTCATTAAAACTATTCTGAGCTACATTAAAAGTTTCTGATTTAATTTTTCTCTAACAATAAAACTGAATGCTCATTTTAATCTCTAAAATCTGAAGATGCAATTGCATATATGTGATGTTTATAAATGTTATAATAAATCACTGGAACCTTTTAAACACCATAATTGCTTTGGAGCTCTTCAAGTTTTCCGAGGGTCATAAAGTAAACACGGCTGTGGCGGTTGCGCAGGGTAGAGGTAAAGAACAGCTTTAAAAGAAAGAGAAAAACACTATCAGTAGATATTTAATACATTTAACCAGATATTTCATAAACAAAAGTGTGAAGTACTAGTATATAGCTATAATTTCAATTTATCTGCATCTGGTAATTAAAATACTAAGCCAAGGGGCTGGGGTTTTAGCTCAGCGGTAGAGTGCTCAGCTAGCATATGTGAGGCATTGGGTTTAATCCTCAGCACCACATTAAAAAATGTGTATTAAAAATACATAAACAAAATAAAGGTATTGTGTCCATCTACAACTAAAAAAAATTTAAAAAAATACTAAGTCAAACTGTTGTTTGAAATAGGTTTTCCTCCAACCAAGAATAAAAATTTAAATTAGTTTGGAGTTTAATTTACAAACTTAAAAATAACCTTCCCCATATTCCATAAAATTGCAATTTATAGTTTAAATAAAATATTTTTGTAGGTGAGATTCATATGCTAATGTTCTTGAGTTTTGATTTTCTTACTTTAAAAATCTATTTTTATTCAAGTTGGCATTTCTTTCAATAAAAGAAAAATTGTTCTGATGTTATTTATCATTGCTTCTGGTGTTTAAGAAGCCACTGAAAATTTCTGCTTCCTGCAATTTTCCATTTCATAGAAATATAGTGAGACCAATAGATTGATATAATGAGTTAAACCAAATGGCTTAGAGAGGGGCATGTTGGGTAAACATGGACTGTTCCTCAGAACAGAACATGGACATAAATATCAAACACACATCCTCTTGTTAGGACTAAGATTTTTGACATTCATATTGGATAAATACTTAGGAGAATCTGAGACATAATAATAATGATGAAGATCAGGTACACTAGCTACTTGACTTAACATATTTTATGTGCCAGACATTCTTGTGAGATGCTTACGAAGTACACATTTTGTGAATTTTCACATTTGTTCCCAAAGCAATTATTAATATTCCTATTTTGGAGATGAAGGAAACTAAGGCTCAGAAAGATCAAACTCCTCAGGTTCTCATACTTAGTTAACTGGCAGAACCAGGACTGCATTGTAGGTCTATATGGCCTCTAACACTGCTTCTTGCCATTACATCATTTTACATTGAAAATCAACATCCTTCCTTAATTTGCTCTGCTTTACTCTAGTTATTCTGATATTAACTTGAAACCTCTACAATGTCTTTTAAATAGGAAAGTTTCTTATTCTTATTAGGATTATTTCTTCACACTATTATTTCCCATAATATGTAGAAATGGTAATGGTTTCATGCAATGTACTTTTCCACCTAGCTATTTGAAATAATTGTTAAAATTAATCAAATTACAGAAGTAATTGCCAAATTTTGATTTTATTTTCCTTGTCTGCAAAACAGACTTCATAATAGATACTTGTGAATATAAATTAATAACTTTTACATTACCAAGCATAAAAAAGATATCATGTAATTAGGTGCATTGAAAACATAAAAACCTTTTCCTTCTTCTATTATTGGATTATATTGAAAGTTGTAAAAGACGTATTTACCCCTGCCCCACTGGAAAAACAAAACAAAACAAAAATGCGGGGCTGCGGATGTGGATCAAGTGGTAGCACGCTCGCCTGGCATGGTGCCGCCTGGGTTCCATCCTCAGCACCACAAACAAACAAAGATGTTGTGTCTGCTGAAAACTAAAAAAAAATAAATATTAAAATTCTCTCTTTCTCTCTCTCTCTCTCTCTCTCTCTCTCTCTCTCTCTCTCTCTCTTTAAAAAAAATGCTGGCAAAGATGTGGAGAAAAAAGAACTCTCATATACTATTGGTGAGGAAGTAAGTTAGTACATCCTTTGGAGAACAGTGTAGAGGTTTCTCAAAAAAAAAAATAGATCTATCATACAACCTAGCTATTCCACTTTTGGATATAAACCCAAAAGAAATGAAATCATTACAATAAAGAGATACTTTCATGCCCATATTTATTGTAGAACTATTCACAATAGCTTGGGAATCAGCCTCAGTATCCATCCACTGATGAATGGATAAAGATTATGTGGTACATAAACACAATGGAAAATTATTCAGCCATAAAAAATGAAATTCTATCATTTGCAGCAAAAATGAATGGAACTGGAAAAAAATTATGTTAAGTGAAATAATCCAGGCACAAAAAGGCACGCACTACATGTTTTTTTTCTCTCATGTGGAAGCTAAGAAAAGTTGTCCTGAATGTAGAATAATGGTTAATAGAGGTTGGGAAGGGTGTGGGGAGTGGTAGATAAATGGAGGATGGACTAAATTGGTTCACAGTGTATGCATGTGTTGAAATAGTACACCAAACCACATCAATATGTACAATTAATACACATTCACCAAAAACAAAATACAAAAACATTTTGAAAAGACAGTTTTGCTCAAACATTTTTTGTTTAAAAATATTATTTTAATATAAATATGTAAATGACTATGGATCAAAGATAATTAATTCTTCCCAAACCAAAAATGGATAAATTTTGTGTAAGACAGAACTAGAAATTCTTACTTTTTTTGAAAATAGGTCATTTTGAAACAGAATTTTATTATCTACCAAATTTGTTTCTACTGGAAAAGAGAAAAATTGTTTCTTTTATCAATAATATGCCAATTAAAAATACATAACAGAATGTATACAACACAAATTTCTTTAGTTAATTTCAATGATTGCTGTAATTTTGCTCTAACTGAAGAGTATTAACATACCTTGTCACCTCGGGTACACAGAAATCTCAGTTTCTTAATTGATCTGCGTTTCAGCTCATTTTCCAGAGCCCTTGATTGCAAAGAACGCGCTTCAATGGCCTTTTGGCCCCATCCTGTGGTTCGCTGGGAACACTCAAAAGCTAAAATACAAATGATGAATATCAGAAAATCACAAAATCTTTTTGTCAGTGATAGAAAATTAAAATCACAATCAATGTTTGATTATTTTGCTTCATTCCTACATTTCAGGTTAACCCATCCCTTTTCCCCCTTCTTCTATGATTTGGCCATTTTGCTGTTCAACAGTGTTTTCAAGCTAGCTATTTTAAGGCACCATCGTGACCAACACTGAATTACTAGATCTCTATTAATTCTTGTATTCATTTTCTCTAAGACCACAGAAAAAGTCAAAGATTAATTCTACCTTCTTTGTATAAATCTAAGTCTATTCACTGGTATTCTTTAATAGTCTAAGTGGCTAATAAGAATTTCTAATAAGGGTTCATATCTGTGCTTGTGTGACACACATGGAAACTTAATTCCTAAAAATTAAAAGTGTTAAAATGATTTGTTCAAATAATTACTTTGGCAACCTTAATATAATTGAATAAGTTACCATGTTATAAGCATAACCAATGCTAATTTGACACTTTTAAGGCTTTTTCCTGCTCGAGAAATTTTTATTAAGATCTTAACTATTTTAGCCCTGTTTTATAATACTTTGTGACAATATAGATTATGACAAAAATTGCCTTAAAGCAGAAAACTTAATTATGTAGATAACCACACAGTCATCTGGTGTTGTATGGTATTTTGTGGTATTGGGAGCAGCAAAATCATTAAATGTTTAAATTTCAAGATGCTATTCTTTATATATTTTGTAGGGAAAATTCCATAGCTAAATTAAATCATGACATTTAAAATAATATCAAGATTTGTAACTCAAGTGAAAATAGTATAGAAAACACAAAATAAAACAATTTCATTCTTACATTAGCATGATTTACATCAGAATTCATTAATTTGACTTTCCATTTTTTTCTGTTTTGAAGGAAATAAATTCTGCTTGATATGAGTATAGGTCTTTTAATTTTTCTCTTATCTTTCAAAGTTTCTAAGATGACTTTGTTTAAACCCAAATTTACCTGACCTATATATGAATACATTAAATATACATAAAAGAAGATGTAAATCTAATTCACCATGTAGTGCTATTTACCATACAACATTTAAAAAAATATTTATTTAGTTGTAGATAAACATACCGTATCTTTATTTATTTTTATGTGGTGCTGTGGATCGAACCCAGTGCCTCACACATTCGAGGCAAGCACTTTACCACTGAGCTATAGTCCCAGCACCTCCATATAATATTTTTAAAGAATTGTGATTTTGTAGATAAAATTTCCTATATGACCACAAAATATATTATTGTCTTTGCTCATATTAAGATTGAAGAACAAAAAATATCACCTTCATTATTTTTTTTAAAAAAATCTTGTTCCTTTCAAACTCTAAAAGTATCTAAGATTGGGACAAGATGGTCGACATGGTGTGCTACTTCACACCCTAAATTAATATACTTAGAAAGCTATATCAATTTAACTCCAAAAGATTTCAAAGTTGTGAGGGTCTGGCGGTACAGGCCTGTAATCCCAGCTTCTCAGGAGGATGACAATGTGAGGGTAGCCTGGGCAACTTAGTGAAACTCTGTCTCAAAAAATAAAAATAAAAAATAAAGGGCTGGGGTTGTAGGTCTATGGTGAAACCCTTCCTAGCAAGCATTGGGCCCTCTGTTGAATCCTCAGTTATCAGTGGGGGAAAAAATATTTCTTATGTGGCCTTTGATGCTGTTTTGTAGATTGATCCTGGTACCTCCACTATTCAACAGAGTTGTATTATCAAAAATATTTTGCAGTTTATATATTAAAATTTTAAATGTTCTTATATCAATTTAAAGGCGGTTTTTATTTTAACATAGAACTACAGCTTTTTGATAGCTTTCATGATTTTTTTTTTTTTTTTTTGGCACTGAGGATTGAAACCCGGGATGCTTTACTACTGAACTATATCCCTAGTCCTTTTCAGTTTTCATTTTGAGACAAGGTCTTGCTAAATTGCTTAGGGACTAGCACTTGAGAGACCCTCCTGACTCAGCTGCCCAAGTCTCTGGATTACAGGTGTACGCCCCAGCACCAGGCTCACTCATTCACATGAGCTTATTTCCCTCCTTTCTTTCCTTTTCCTCCTTATTTCTATTTCAGCTTTATTATTTCTTATTAAAATTATTAATGCATATTGTTTTAGAAACTATAAAACTTCATATGAAAATAGATAATTTAAATGATTTCTACTGTCATGTATAACTAATTAGGAAAAAATAGAAAAAATAAATCTTCAAAACTGTAAAAAAAAAAAAGAGGGTGGGAGGGAAAGGGAGGGGACAGGGGATTAGCAAGGATGATGGAATGTGATGGACATCATTATCCAAAGTACATATATGAAGACAAAATTTGGGTGTCAACATACATTATATACAGAGATATGAAAAATGGTGGTATATATGTGTAATAAGAATTGTAATGCAAAAAAACAAAGCATATGTATGAAGACATGAATTGCGTGAACATACTTTATATACAAAGATGAAAGATTGTGCTCTATATGTGTAATAAGAATTGTAATGCATTCTGCTGTCATGTTTTTTAAAAATAAAATCAATAAAAAATGTAAAAAAAAAGAACTCATGAAGAAAATTTTGAACTTTTATAAAAAAGACTTTTTTTTTTTTTAATCAAGGATGGAAACCAGGGGCACTTTACCACTGAGCTACATTACATTCCCAGCCCTTTTAATACTTTATTTAAAAATTTGAAACAGGGTCTCCCTAAGTTATTTAGGGCCTTGCTAAGTTGCTGAGGCTGGCCTCAAACTTGAGACCCTCCTGCCTCAGCATCCCAAGTTGCTGGGGCTACAGGCATGTGCCACCGTGTTCTGTAAAAATGACTTTCACATGCAGTGTGAGCAAAGAATCCCTAAAATAAAATTATCAAACATTCATTATCTTCTGCCCCCTTTAATATTGCAATTCAAACTAATTTTGTTTATAAAATTGACATTAAAGTTATAATTAAATTGCTATTATATTTTGATTCAGAAAGTAGCTGTCCTGCAGGAACTTTGTAAGTCTTATTTCAGACTGGAATTAAAACCACTCCAGATTATAGAGAAGAAACAAGTGACCTGAGCAATGGGAACAAGTAATAGATATTTTTTTTTTACCCATGTAACTACTTCATTAAAAAGGGCATTTTGGGGGCTGAGGTTGTGGCTCAGTAGTAGAGCACTCACCTAGCACATGTGAGGTGCTGGGTTCGATCCTCAGCACCATATAAAAATAAAAACAAATAAAAAAATAAAGGTATTGTGTCCAACTACAATAAATAAATAAATAAATAAATGGCATTTTTGTCAACAATCACATACAGAAAAAGACTTTCTAAACTTAATGCACAGGCTACTTGCTGATTCCAAGTATACAGCTAATTTCTATCTTAATACTGAAACACATAAGTCTGCCACTTAAACAAGCTACTAAGCTAGTTTGCTTTCTGAAATAGAACTTACTCAGTGATTTGAAAGTGGGAACACTTAGTAAAACTTTCTGTAATTGTTATGTTTCTGTATATTTGTTTGAAAATGTAGATCAATGATCTTATTGATGTCATTGTCAAAGGCATTTACCACATGAAAATGTAAAATTTATATACAGGAAATCTGGATCTGGGCAAGTCTTAAAAAGCAAAGTAATTGTTTTTAGACAGAAAAATAGAATAATTGATTTCCTTAATATCAGTGTTGTGATATAATATATTCTCAATATATCCTTAATACTTAAACCAAAATATAAAGTGTCTATAGCACTATGATTTACTTTACATGTAGATGTCTTTCAAATTCTAGTACCTTAAGATGACTTTTTGGTTTAGGTGAGAAATTTTCCTGCCTAAGTATAAGAACTATACAAGATGACTTTTCAAGATCTCTTTTATTGCTGTGATTGTCTAGTGGCATAAATATAGGCATATCTTGAGTTCCCAAATTTAAACTGAATTACCTTATTCCAATTTGTAATATATTGATCACAAAAGTATTACTATAAAGGTTATAGCATGATTATTTTTTTTCACTTTCTTTTGCCTGAGATCTGTCAATTATACTGTAAGCATTTATCTCTGTCAATTAAAATGGTTTGATATCCTCTGTGAATTCTTACCTTGCTGAGGAAAATGGAGCATGTTTTCAGGACAATTCTGAACTATGTACGCAAATCATAAAAGATTCTGCAGATGCAATGCAAAGTGCCATCATTCCATAGGAAAACAATGTCCATTATAAACAGTTCTTTCAAACTGATCCTTAAAGCCACTGCAGGATAATTTTCAGCCATTTTTTTTTTGAGATTTCAGAGGTTTAAGGCTTCTATCTGGATAAAGTACCTTTTTCTCTCTCAGTCTCTCTCTCCTTTCTCTGTTCTTCTCTACACACACACACACACACACACACACACACACACCCCTTCCTTCTTCCTTTATTTGGTTCATTAAACTCCTCTTTCCTTTGGGAATAGTTATTCTCCAATTAATCATTCTACCCTCTCTAATATTTTTACTTTGCATTCTGGTCTCTATCTGGAATCACTTGTATAGTCATCATGCCTCAAAAATATGAATAAGAATCTCAAATTATTTGGATTTCTCAGTCTTGTAGTAAGTTGTTCACTGGTTAGGAAGAAAAAATGTCCTGGTTTAAAGAAGATTCAAAAGGTTGTTACCTCTATGTTGCCATCTGGGTGGTACCTAATAGGTATCAAGGTCAGACATATTTCTTTTTTCTAAATGATGTGATTCTTCACAGGCACATCACTCACTGAAGGTAACACTACTGACTATACAAAAGAGAAATATTTGGCTCTTCTTTGACTGGAAGCTTCCTAAGATAAAGGTAAGCCCCCCAAATCCTTGTGATGGAAAGAAGCATTTTCAATGTTTGTGTAAAGATTGCAAGCAAAGGGAGTTTAAGCAAAATTATAGATTATTGTGGAGGGAATTAGTTTCTATTTCAATTATACAACTGTTTCAAATGAACCACTCAGAAAACCCAAATTAGTCTCTTTTTGGTATTCTTCATGAATGTGCTAAGCATATCACAAAAAATTGCTTCATTTTACTAAGGGAATACATGTGCAGGATTCCAAATTAACACTCTGTACCTTGAGAATATAATAATTCAGGAAATCTTCACTTAGGACACATATTTATCCTTGAAAAACTTATTTGGTATCATATGAAATAATAATCAATTGTATACATACCAACAGAGGACGGTATGTCTTTCCATACTTCAAGGATCTTCTTGAAGAGGTGTTCATTTGCTTCCACAGAGAGAGCTTCAGCGTTGAAGGTGAGCATCATGCCAATTCCCAAGGAATCAGGTAAAATGATGATATTCTGTGGTATAATGAGTTCCAAGGGCTGGAATTATGTTTCATAAAAAATTATATGTTCAACATTTTACCACTACTATTGTAATTGAAGCAGCTTGGCTGAGCAATAAAGATCAAAGAGATTCAAAGTGTAGGAAGGAAGGTAACAAAAGAGTTGCTTTCCTTATGCCATAATGTGATCACTATTTAATATTTTCCTTTTTATTTAGGAGAAAGAATGGTTTGAAAAAATAAGAGATACATTTCCTAATACAGAGAAATTGGTTTAAATTACACAAAGTATAATGTATAGTTATTGAAAAAAAATAGACAAGAGACTTGGATTTAAGTTTCATTTCAGAAATAATTTGATGAATAATTTGATAATGAATGTGTCCACCAAGTAATGAGTACACAATCCTTGGTTGTCAGTAAAATTTGTTAAAATAAAAATAGAAAATAAACCTAAAAATAGCTTGAGCTTAACACACTTATAAGGGGCAACTTTATATTCATCATAGCTTGAAATATAATAGTCATAAACCTTTGCAAAAAATGTAGAATTTCTTATCAAATTTTCATAATCTTAAAAATCGGTTGAATACAAGATTCAGAGATGTATTAGGTAGTATAAGAGGAAATACTAAGAAATATCTAAGTACTTCCAAATTTCATGATGCATAAAATGTGACAAAATTGGCTTAAACTACAGATATTCCCTGATAATGAACAATTGTGTTCTTTTCTCCAAATTAGAAGGTAAAAAAAAAAAAAAAAGATCAAAAGCTATACTTGCCAAACCCAGCGTACTCAGACCAAGGGCTTGAGGCCATGTCTCAGCAACAACAATCCTTAAAACTAAAATGGGGATCCAGAGGCGAAAAGCAATTTTAATACGCTCCCTGGGCACTTGCATGAGCAATTGAATCAGGAAAGAGATGAATGAAGAGAATAAAAGAAAATTGCAAGAAAGAAGTTTGTCTCAGTAAAATCTGTAAACAATAAAACTGGACTGCTGCAAATCGAGACAGACTCTGAGGTTATTATCTTCTTTCTGAAGTAACCAGATATTCTGTAGCACACGTGGCTCCCTTGTAACATTACATGTTTTATAATCTAGAACTCTTGAAAAGTTATTATTTTTAGTACATTCTGTTTCAGAAGACACCCCTTGTCTCCCTTAGAGTCAGCTTTCTTTTAATGGGTCAAGATACTAGGGCATTCTTCTAAAAATATTTTTGAATATATATAAGGTATCCTAATTAGGTCAGAACATGACTTTTAAAAATGCATCATTTCTCATTGTAGCTTCCACAGTAATTAATGAATTTATTCAAAAATGAAATATTTTTTGTTTTTTCATCAGGTGAAACACTGAGTTAAACTTCTTGAATGACTTTTCAAATAAATATAAACTTGGACCAATGCTGCAATGTTCAATATTGCCCTGTATTCTAAATAAATTCTCTTTGACCCACATAAAAAGTAAGATGCAGAAATCTATAAAAATGTAATACAATATTCACAATATATAAAAGAATAATATAATATTCATATCAAAATTATTTTGACCTTATATCTAAGTGGTTTTATCTGAGGTTGGTTCAGTATTTTTCACATTATAAACATGGTAAGTTGCATATAATCATAGAAAATCACTGGTGATCAGCTAATTATTATTAATATAAGCAAAATCCTTTAAAAAGTATTCATTAATGTACTGACAATTGATCCATGTAATTTATTACAGAGGTATGAGATGATTCTGAAGGCTATTCAAAAATATCACATCTATACTAATTTAATAGTGTGTACAATTTTTCTCCAGGAATTTTTATACCATGCTAAGCTGTTATGATTTTAATTGTTAATAAATGGGAATTAAAAAAATAGTTGATGTAAAAAAAGGTGATACAGGCTTTCCTTTTAAATGTAATTTTCAACAGGAAAATCAGCATTGCCACCTTCAAATTTTAGACAAAGAATTGTGTTTTGTATGGTGTGCATGTAGGGGTATTATATTATATTTAAGTATTTTATGTAAATTATGTGAGTATATTTTTAAAACAATTCATATTTTAGGTGCTGCACCATATTTTCACTACTTAAGAGTTTAGGTACATTTGCTTTTGCAATGCTGAACCCTTTGATCAGAAATTAAAAGTGTAAGTGGTATGATAAAACAACATTTTATGATAATTTACTATGTACCACTGTTAAAGTAATGCAATAAAAGAGGATATACATAACAATTCCATGATACTGTCATTGCATTTTAAAAAATCTATTAATATATTGTGGGGTACAGAAGGACTAAGGCAAGGACTTCAAACTCAAATACCTCTTAGGGCTAATTATTATAAATATGGAAAGATATATAGATAGAGATTGTAGAGCATATATCCTATCTAAATGCTCTACAATTTCTATCTAAAAAGGGGCAAGTATAAATCAGTTCAAGTTGACAGTGGCCAGTTAGTAACATGGGCCTGAGGTTTCCAGGTATTCCAGTTTATCAATAGAAGTACAGATTTTAGATGTAAACTTTACTTATTAAAAAATAAGCCAGGTGATAGACAAACAAAATATTTCTGCAGAATAAACTCAGCTATCTGGACTCAGAAGTCATCAGTGATGTTTGTTTAAGTGTGACCACTTTATGGAAATCTATACTTACATTTTAGGTCTCCATTCAAGTATAGATATTGTTACTCACATGTTTGAACCTTTCAGTTTTGATGGTTGTAAATATTCAGTGTTATACAATAATATCTAGGGATCTGAGAGTAGTATCTTACATTATTTGGCAGGGTCACATCAGACATAACTTCAGATTCTGCATCGATGATGTGATATCCATCTGCTGAGCTGAAGAAAATCTTTAGTGTTTTCTCAGAACCAATAGCCAGGTCAACTGTCACTGGCTTATGACCAAGAGTTGGAAATACCTGAAAATATAAAAACAAGTATGGCCAAAAGGCATTCGAACTAAGGTAAAAATTTCCCCACTCTTTTCCAGGTTTGTAGGTTTATAAAACCCAGGTTAATTTTCAAAATTGCATATTGTATTTAAAGACCTATGTATTAGAACTTTTCTTAGGTCTGTTACAACAACAAAGACAAATATATTTAGGTTCTAAATATTGTTTCCCTTCAAATATCAAAATGCTAATGATTGTAAGAGCCTCATATGCCCCTGCACTGTTTGCTGTCTTTAAGTTTCTTGCCTTGAGCTTCAGCAAATGAAGGAGCTCATCTGGTCTCTTAAACCGGTTTGCTGGATCAGCTGCCTGTATTTTTGCCAGTATTCGTATATAGGCTTCATAGGACATGTAGTCTCCTTCGGAGTCTGCTGATTGATCAATGCATACTTGATAAGGAATGAAAAAGGCCATAAATGTTAACCTACTATAGACTGGGTGTAACCTAGGCTCTATGGTTTCTAATCCAAGGAAACAAAAGGCCAATCAGGATTCATTGCCATGATCAGGTCACCATGGAGGACTGAGCATCACAGGATTCACCATACTGTAGTCATGAGTTGGAATTCAAGAACTGGAGTGAGGACTTGGACAGGAACTGTGTATGAGGCTATACAGATTGTTGGTACTTATCTCTTTTGTTTTCCATTTCATACCAGGTAGCTCTGACCAATCAGCAGACACCCAAGAACAAACCCATATCCAAACACTGACAGCAGGGCCAAAGCCCAATTTAGGAAGATCAGTCAGGGATGTGATTTGTCAGGACACACCCAGACTATCTATGTAGTAAACTATGCTCTTTTATTAAAAAAAAAAAGAAAAACAGTTATGTGATGTTTTGGACTACAAAACAGACCATGTAAACAGATCCTATTCTAAGATACAAAAGTAGTATGTGAATACCTTACTGAGGTCTATCAGGATGTGTGCATATCAGCACTTTGTAAAAATCCATCTATGGACCAACTAGTTCAATAGTGACTGGAACATTTGCTAAAAATATAGATTGACAGGCCCTACTCCAGACCTGAAATTTAGCCTGGGGTTGAGTCTGAGATCTAAATGTCTAACAAATTCTCCAGGCAATTCTGATGCATATCCAGGTTAAGAGGTATTTGACTTGATAGAACACTGCCATTCCATTAATCAGCCCTCATTATAATGGAGTATATACAAAATAATATTATTTAAGTGAAATTCTGTAGCATTGTAATTAAATTATATACAGTACTCTGTTTATGTGATGTGATTTAAAAAAATCACCAGCATCTTGTTTGGAATATTAAATGATTCCCTTCCTTGGCTGATCCATAAAAGTCCAATTAAACCATAATAAAATGAAAAAATGAATAAGCCTAACCACTAATATGTCTTACAATAGTTTAGAGAGAAATGTACTTAGAGTTCCAGTTTGGAAGGAATGAAGACCCACCCATTTCCTACATAACCCCACCTATTGTAGGTATGGTAACTGGAGCAAAGGTTTTCTCTTCTCTCCTTCTTCTTCCAATGGTGTTCCTCCTTCGACCATCTTCACACAATTTCTTACCTTCCCTCTACTCCCCCACCCAACTAAAGAGAAAACAGGGATTTTTTCAGATTCAAGTCATTTGGTGTAGCATCTGAGGTCTATATTTGGGCATCTATAAGTAGAGATCTTCATGTTGACTACAGGAATTGGGAGTGAGAAGCTGGTGTGGAGGTCCTGTGAAGACAAGGGTAAGGGATTTCCCTCACATTCTCACTTGCTGTGGTGCCTGTGGATTATCTAAGAAAGGGTTAAATGATAATTATTGATATGATACATTCCAACTGTAAAATAATGGTATATATATATTTTTTTTTTCTTATATGCATTCAAAAATATTGTGCTTTTTAAAACAACTTCTTCTCAAAAGAACACTGTCATGATCCAAAGGAAAAAGAGATCACTTACTTTAATAGCAGTGCTTTCATCAAAGGACTTTGGTGCCCATGCATAAAGATGAATTGATGATTTCAAAGCAATTGCAATGTATGTTGTTTCTTCATGTTGGACTACAATAATAAAATAAAATAAATAACAATGCCACAGAATCAACAAGAACATTCAAGTGGTTTTGTTATTGAAAATGTCATAACCACTTAGTGAGTGCACAAAGTGTATAATTTTAGAAAAATCTACTTGGTTACAATTTAATGTCCCAAAATGTAATTAGATTACTATCTATTTTTATGGAGTTTCTGCATTAGCTTTCAAGAGAATTCTAAATTGTCCACTGAAAGCTACAGAACACTGATGAAAGAAATTATGGACCTAAATAAATGGAAAAACTTTCCATGTTCATGGTAGACTTAATATTGTTAAGACAGCAACACTATCCAACAAAATCTCTATAGAATCAATGAAATTGCTAAAATCCCAATGCCCTTTTTTATTAGAAATGATTATTTTCACATGAAATTGTAAGTTGTTCCGAGTAACTAAAACAATCTTTAAAATCAAATTTGGAAGGCATACATTTTCTGATTTCAAACAATTTCATTCACAAAACCCTAAAAAATACTTGAGACTCAATCAAATCAAGTAGGTGAAAGCCCTCTATAATGAAAACTATGGAATACCAGAAAAAGAAATTGAAGATGACCTTGGAAGATAGAGACTACATATGTTCTTGAGTAGGCATAACTAGTATTGTCAAAATGGCCATGCTACCAAAAACAATCTGTAGATTCAATGCAATTCCAATATAAATGCCATAACATTTCTAACAGAACTAGAAAAAAGTCCTAAAATTCATATGGAAGAATAAAAGATCCAGAATAGTCAAAACTATCCTGAGCAATAAGAGTGATATGAAAGTTTCACACTACCTGATCTCAAATTATACTACAGAGCTATAGTAACAAAAGCAGAATGGTATTGGCATAAAACCAAACATGAAGACCAATGAAATAGAATAGAAAACACAGAGATAAATCCACATAAGTACATTCATCTGATCCTTGACAAAAGTGCCAAAAACACACATTGAAGAAAAGTTAGCCTTTTTAACAAATTGTGCTATGGAAACTTGATATCCCTATATAGAAGAATGAAACTAGATCAACTGATGAATGGATAACAAAAGGACAAAAGATGATATATCTGTACAAAGCAGTACTATACATGTGTAAAGAGTAATGAAGTGAATAATTAATAAGCACTTTAAATTGATACATTTCATAATATATAAATTATGCAACAGGACCATAAACATCATATGGATGTATATGCTTGCTCTCAACCCTTCTGATTCTCATGGAATATGTTTTATTGATAGATTCATACTTTATGTTAAACCCCTCTTCCTTGGTTATATTATGTTTGGGATATGTGATATTCCCCAAAACCTCATGTGTGAGACAATGCAAGAAAAGAGTGATTTGGTTAGATTATAAGAGTTGTGGATTAATCCTCTTGAATGGATTCACTGAGTGGTGAAATCTGGCAGGTAGGTTAGGCTGGAGGAGGTAGGTCACTGGGGGAATGCCTTTGTAGTGTATATTTTGTCCCAGATGAGCAGAACTCTCTCTTCTTCCTGCCTATATTGTCTTGAGATGCTTTCCCCTGCCATGCCCTTCTTCCATGGTGTTCTGGTTCACCTTAGGCCCAGAGCAATAGAGTAGGCTCACTATGGACAAACCTCTGAAACTATGAGCCCAAACAAACTTTCCTCTTCTCTGTTGTTTTTGTCAGGTCTTTTGGTCACAGTGACAGTAAAGCTGACTAAAACAGCTGGAATATTGATTAGTTTTCTCTCTCTCTTCTCTCCACTTTTTCTGAGTCTAGCTTACTCTTTTTTATTCTTTTGGTACTAGGGATTGAACTCCAGGGCACTTGACCACTGAGCTACATCCCTAGCCCCATTTTGTATATTATTCAGAGACAGGGTCTCACTGAGATGCTTAGGACCTCACTAAATTGCTGAGGCTGGCTTTGAACTCATGATCCTTCTGTCTCAGCCTCCTGAGTCACTGGAATTACAGGCATACACCACCACACCCAGCTGGCTTACTCTTTCATTTTCTTTTTTATCATTTCTAAACAGGTCAAAGAAATATGATTAATAAACCAACAACAATGGGCTAGGGTTGTGGCTCAATGGTAGAGCACTTGCCTAGCACATGTGAGGCACTGGGTTCGATCCTCAGTACCACATATAAATAAGTAACTAAAATAAAGGTATTGGGTCCATGTGCAAATGAAAATATTTTTTAAAATCCACCAACAAGTATTCTTGGTTAAGCGAAACCTTCCTATCAATTTTATATGGAGAAATAATTGGTGCCCCTCCATTATTTTATGAATCTTGGAAGGCTATGAAAATACCACTAACTATGATTGATCCATTGCTATACTCCTATATGAAGCTGCTACCAGTCTACCTGTCAATGAGTCACATGGTTTACTGTTATTGTTCTGAGTTCTAGGGTGAAATGGAACGGGGTCAGCCAGGAAAATTGGACTTAACTAGTCCAGACCTGAAGAGCACTGATTTACTAGATGGCTACCTTTATAATCAAGTCTTACTGAGATTAAAAAAAAAAAAATACAAATAATTGGAAGTAGTTCTGCAATATAAACTCCTATCTATGGATAACTTTCACCTCTGGGGATAGCAAATTTATATCATATGACTGGAGGAAAGTAGTGATATCAACAACTAGAAGAAAGTAGGGCATGTATTTAATCCTTTAGTTATCTAGGTCCTCAGTTTCCCTTTTAATTGATGTATGTACATATGTGGACATATTTGAAAACATATCCTGGGAAAGCCACTTTATACTCAGAGCAACAATGGTCAGTCTGAACAGAAATATTTTGTTGCAATACATATAATGCGATTTGAGCTATCACCCACCCATGTACCAGTTCACCTGATGGGGCAATCAGTGCTGGGGAAAAGAAGATAAAGAAGGCTGATAGTAGAGGGGATTTTCTTCAGAAATGAACCAGAATGGGATGATATTACTTAGCAGTTGTTTATAGCTGAAAGCAGAGTTCTGAGATCTTAGAGTTGCTACTCCATTTCATAGTGGATGCTTGTGAAGAGATTGAGGATATGAAAACATTATCTAACCAAATTGAAAACACTGATTATACTCATGAGTTCTGACAGTGGGAGCAAGAGTCAGCAAGTCTTAGAAGATTGTTTTTATGACTCATCATAAAATTTCCTAGTCAGTATTAAGAGGAATTCTATTTTATTGCCGATTCAAGGAAATAACCCACATGAATCTCTGCACATTGTAGAAGATACATCAAGAATATTTATATAGTTGAAACTATAGATAGGCAGGAAAAAAATCAGTTTAACTGGAATATTCAGGTTGAATGGGAAGGAAATAAAGATGAGGAAGTAAATCAAATTTAACTTCAATTGCTATTTTAGTTGGTCATAATTTTCTTATTAATAGCCAAGATTGTAGCAGAAAAGACCTGGAGGATGTCTCAATGAAATTCACAAATTGCTTCCGTTCTGTTTTGCCTTCCATGATTATGTACTTCACCAAATGAAAGGAAGCAACATTTCAATAGCTATAGTAAATATGAAATGGGACATACGGACACTGAAGTGTTCACAACCAGTCAACTTATCAATAGCTTTGCAAGCTTCTTCTGTCTTCAGCATTTCTTCTTGTCTTTTTTTACTTTCTGGATCATTATTCAAAATCTTGTTTCTCAGCCAAGTCAAATGATACACCCGAAGTCTGTTCTTACGGCCTGATGGATAAGATACAGTAGTTCAATTAAATCTATACTTTTTTTATATCTTAGAAGAATAAAAATTAAAGGTATTTTGCCTTTTAAAACAAATGTTTTCATGAAGGTAAAAATAACTTTTAACACACCACATAGTATCAGTGTCCCCTTCAGGATTTGGAAATGTGATAGCAAAGTCTTAGTGTATCAATTCCAACAGGTAGTTGAAGTGTCTACTAACTACCTCTAAGCCAGTCTAAAGTGACATCTAAAACATTTCTCTGGGACAGGTTATGGCTGCCACTAAGCAGGCAAAAAATCATTCATTCATTAGAAACTTGGAGTTTTACAAAGTCATGATCCCTCTAGGGTTCAGAGAGCTAGAAGTTGTCCCTGATAACGTGTGTATATGAGAGGGATGTCTGAATATTGACTGTTTAGGCATTTAGTTCCATTAAGATAAATTTCTTTGAATTCTATCATTCTAGCATGCTTATAACAGAGTTGGATAGTTTTATTGTTTTTAACCCAGTTTATATGTTTTATTATTTTTTATTTCTATTGATTTAATATATTTTTAATTTTTTTGATTTATACAAAATATTTGTACATATTTATGAAGTACAATGTGATATTTTGATTTATGTATACATCATGTAGTGATCAACTTGTAGTAATTAGCATAGCTATCAACTTAAACATCATTTTTAATGGTGAGTACATTTAATTCTTCAAACTGTTTTGACATATAAAATGCATTATTTATAATTATATTCATTCTGCTCTACCACAGTACAACATAATTTATTTCTCCTATTTAACTTTACCCATCATCTAATTATAACCATCAGACCCCTTGACCAATTTTTTCCCTTTCCCCCTATTTAACCCAGTCTCTGTTAACCACTATTATACATTTCACTTTTATGAGATCAACTTTTTAGGTTCTACTTAAGTGAGATAATACCTTTAATATTAGTTTCCTAATTATAAATCCCAGCAAATTTTTACAATTAATTAAAAAACATGGGCCATTAAAATTACACATTTCTTTCCCTAAAAATGATTTTATTTCTAGTGATTTTTAAGGTTTATATGATATTCATTTTATTTATTTATTTGATTATTTATTTATCTAGTTTTAGTTGTGGGTGGAAAGGACACCTTTGTTTTTTAATTTATTTTTATGTGGTGCTGAGGATCAAACCAGTACCTCACATTTGCTAGGCAAGCGCTCTAGTATTGAGCTACGTTCCCTGTCCTGGTTTATAATATTTCTAATCCCAACAATAGAATTCTTACTTATATGATTAATATGTTTTAAATAAAGTTTTTATAGCAGTATTAGGGTTCTATTCTTAAATGGTAAATCAAACTATTGAGTATCTCTCAATACTTATAATCTTAGTACTATTGTAATTAAAAATAATACACATTAAAGAGAAGCTCAACCATTAAGGAGGGTACATTTGGGTTAGAGAATACTAGAACACTAAAAAAGAAAGAAATCTGGGGCTGGAGATGTGGCTCAAGCAGTAGCGCGCTCACCTGGCATGCGCAGGATGCTGGGTTCGATCCTCAGCACCACATAAAAAATATAGATGTTGTGTCCACCGAAAACTAAAAAATAAATAAATATTAAAAAATTCTCTCTCTCTCTTTAAAAAAATAAAGAAATCTGTTCTCTAGATGTTTACTCTCTTAGGTACCCAGATGTAAAAAATCTAAATATTGCTTCTGTAATCAAATAATTATAAATGAATGTTGACAAAAGTGACTTAAAAAAACATGAGCTCTGAGCATACCTATAAAGGGTTTTCTACCCTAATTCAAATTAAATCAAATTGACCTTATTTAGAAATACACATTATCAGTATGTGCATGGCAATTTGCATACTAATATATATTTTACACACATATTTATATTATAAAATACATAATTCAGATAAATAACTATGATTAGCATGAGCTTATTCTGTATGAAACCTATTTCTTCAACTTTTCCTTTTTTTGTCTGTCATCTTATGCCTATAGTCAAAATTAATGCTATTGCTGTTTTGATACCAGGTCCTTTTTAGTAATCTTTTTTATTTTATTTTTTGTACTGGAAATTGAACTCAGGGGCACTTGGCTACTGAGCCACTGAGGCACATTCCTAGTTTTTATTTTATTTTGTTTTATTTTATTTTTTGATACTGGAAATTGAACTCAGGGGCACTTGGCCACTGAACCACTGAGCCACATCCCTAGTGCTATTTTGTATTTTATTTAGAGACAGGGTTTCACTGAGTTGCTTAGCGCCTCACTTTTGCTGAGACTGGATTTGAACTCTCAATCCCCCTGTCTCAGCCTCCAGAGCCACTGGGATTATAGGCGTGCACCACCATGCCCAGCCTGTTTAGAAATCTTAATCACTATAACACCCATTTACTTGCTATCTCATAGTCAAAGATTCAAGGTTTACCAAAACTAAGAAATCCAACTATTGTGTAGGGAAACTGTAGAGTTCTTTAAAAGGAAATCCATTGTTGTAACCAACCCTATCTTAGGCCTTTTGATAAGTTTGTGCTAGGGACAAACTTATTTAATACTCTATTATCTGTTCACTTTGTTCCTTGTTGCTTCTAACACATCAGAGAAAAGATATATGTTGGATTTTCATGTGATCAGGTGTGCATGAGTAGATGTGAATGACAGCTGTGAAGTTGTACAAGGCTACTTTGTAAAGAACCTGCAAGGAAGCAAATAGTGTGAGTTTTCATATCAATAACCTAAATTAGGTGTGCTGCAATCAAAGGAAGTTAGTTTCAGTTGTAAATAGATAAGAAAATACAAGTAGGAAAATCTGGTATCCCAATTAAAGGTTATATTTAAAGTGTTCTCTTATGAACACTTTCACCTGAGAAAGTCTTTAACCCAGTTTGCAGTCTAATTAATCTGCTTAATTATTCAGCTAATTTTAGTTCTTAAACAAACCAGAGATGGTAATCAGCAAATTGAGTGGCTCTACAACTTGAATCTGGCGAAATGGTCGTCGCTTTATAAGTTTAGTAATGTCTGCCTTTCCACTTCTGTCCATCAGATACAGATTAGATCGGGTTCCAAGAAGCAAATTGACTCCTGTTCAAGGATAAAAAAAAGAAATATACTATATTAAAACTCATTTTATATTTGCATTTATATTACATTTTTGCTACTCCATTGTGATGATCTATATAAAAGTGACTTTTAACATTTTTAGGCTAATGCTAATCAAATACTGTGTAACTACTTACTCTTTACTAACATACACATAACAAATGCATTGAAATACATAAAAAGATAGAAGATAATGATCTCAAGCAATATTCTATGGGATCATGTCTGGTATGCCACCTTGAAAATAGAATTGTACCTACATCTCAGCACCCTGTAGTAGCATCCCGAATTTTATTAAAATCAATTCTTTTTGAAAATTACTATTAAACATTCTTAGTGTAGCATATATAAAGATCTCAACTCAGTTCATTTCTCATCCATTACTGTAACTACAGGTTCTTATGTTTTTTAATATTTATTTTTTAGTTATAGGTGGACACAATATCTTTATTTTATTTTTATGTGGGGCTGAGGATCAAACCCAGTGCCTCACACATGCTAGGTGAGTGCTCTACCACTGAGTCACAACCCCAGCCTGGTTTGAATGTTTTTAAAATCATTATATGTAGATAATTTTTAAATTGAATAATTCTATATTTATGCAGATGTTAAAACTTTTACATTGCTAAATGCCTGTAAAATTAGTTCTTATCTTCATATACCTAAATTCGTATATTCTGTCTTTTATTTCTTGACTGGGTCTATTTGTTCATATATAAGCACTGTTTAAAGAACAAGGAGAGGACTGAAATAGAAGAAAGAACTGAAGTTAAAATACACTTAAAAGTACTGTGGCAGTTTTTCTCCATATACCAAGACTTAGGAGAAAATTGACCAAGTAATTAACAGGAGAAAACTTCAGTGTCTTCCATTTAGATAATGTTTGTGCTCTAAGGGTATAAGAAGGAAAAGACAAGTGTTTCTGCTTTCATTTTCCTACTCTGTCCTTCACCAAATCTCAAGCCAATGGCAAATTTTGAAACTGCATCTTCCTCCCAGAAGAGACTCAAGGAAGGAGGAGGAAGTATTGTAAATTTTCACTATAATTTTTATTATTCAAAATGTAAATCATTTCTTATAAAATGAATTAGTAGACATTAATCACATTTTTGAGTAGTTTCCAGACTGAAATGTTAAACGCCTTCTTATATTTGATACACTCAATTAGCAAAACTTTGGGGATAACATTTTTCTAAGTCAATTCATATAATATGCTTGCCACCATGTTCTAGTTTTAATTCAAAGCCCTATCTCCTATTCAATCATACATTAAGTAAAATCTATCAAACAGAAGTCAGAAGTTGGCATTTACTATGGATTTCTATCCTCCTTGCATTCATCAATTCTGCTTTATTTGTTATTCAACTGGCTTGAGGTAAAATACAGTCTCAATACCACCCATATGACTATAACTCTTCCGAAAAAAAGGATTGCGAAAGTTTAAGGCCTACAAATCTTCAAGAGTGTTTAAAATGAGATCCTGCAAAATCTTTTTTGTAAGACCTATTTAGCTATCTGTTATGGTATGTATCTGGAACGTCCCTCAAAAGCTCATGTGTGGAAAGCTTGGTCTCTAGGGCAACAATATACAGAGTTGGGGCTTTTCAGAAGGGACTGAATGTTGAGGGCTCTCATCTCATCAGTGGGTTAATTCATCTGATGGTTTAATAATTTGAATACACTACTGGGAGGTGGTAGAAACTGTAAGCAGGTGGGGCATGGTTGGAGGAAGTAGGTTGCTGAGGACTATATCTTGTCCATTGCCCCTTTTAAGAATTTAGGGACAGGTATTAAAAGAAATTACTAATCTATACATCATATGTGCTTGAGTGTTTCCACAAATGAGACTTCTGCCATAAATTGAGAAATTTTGTCCACCACATCCTTCTGATCTTTCTGCCTTGGATCCAGCCAGTCACGAATTGAAACCTCTGAAAACATGAGCCAAAATAAATCTTTACCCCCTCTAATCTGTCAGTATTTTGGTTGCAGCTAGAAAAAGCTAATTAACAGTATTATATGCTGAAAACTACTCTGTATTAGGAATACTAATCTTAAAATTTCAAATAATTATAATCTAGTCAAATTTTATATTTTATCTGAATTAATTAAGGTTAAAAAGAAAATAGAATAAAAATCAGGAGGAATCAATTAAATCATCAAATCACTTCTAAGAAAATACATTTTATTTGATTGATAATGGGTTGGTAATAATAAACAAATGTTTTACATCTATGATTTTCATGGGTTTGCTACGTAGATTTAAAAAGATTCTTTTAAAAACAACCAAATTTCAGAAATCAAACTTACCCCATAAAGAACCACAGAAGATCTCAGAAGTGAATTCCTTTTCATACATGTGAATTAGTGGTTTTTTACATGCAGGAGAGACATAGAGTGGGTTAACATTGACTTCAGAGGGTTGCTTAGGTGATTTTTCAGGTACTTCCACGAATCCAGCATATACTGTTAAGAATTAAGGGACAGGTATTAAAAGAAATTACTAATCTATACATTATATGTGCTTGAGTGTTTCCACAAATAAGACCCAGCCTAGAAAATATATTTTCATTTTTTTGTATTTTATTTTTACTGGAGGAGTCACTTTAGTAATTCATAAGCCATTGGACAACACAAATAATGATGGTTAAAATATATTCTTGAATATAGTTTTAAGTTATTGTGATTTTTAATGCAAAATAAATCCAATGAAGGACTCAATTTCTCAACTGAATCTGACATTCAGGCATCATAAAGATTCAGTGAGGAACACATTTTTATTTTACTTTAAAAATGTTTTTCATAGTGCCTTGTTTACTAATATAGGGGTTTATTTAGACATGGAATATAATTTATTCTGTTTCAGTCCTCAGTACTTCCTCTTTACCTTCCCTCCTCCCTCCTGCTGTTTACCTTCTTCTATTCTACTGGTCTGTCTTCTATTTATTTAAATCAGTGCTTTACAGACATGCATAAACATGGCATTCACTGTGGTATAATCATGTATGTACATAGCATAATAGGGTCAATTCCATTCTGCAGTTCCTCCCTTTTCCCATCCCTCTTCCCTCCCTATCTATCCCCTTCCTGTACTCTACTGATCTTCCCTCTGATTTCATGAGATCCCTTCTTCTTTCCCCTCTTATTTTGGTGTAGTTTCCATATATGAGTGTAAACATTTGACCCCTGATTGTTGAACCTGGTTTATTTCACTTAACATAAAGTTCTCCAGTTTCATCCATGTACCAACAAATGTCATAATGTAGATTTTTAAAAATCGTATATCAATATGAATTTGGGTCAAATGAATATGAGAATTACTTAATTCCATGCAGATTTTGAACAAGTAGTTAAAAACTAATGTGTGAACAGGTATCAGAATTGATAGATCATAGTAGACACACTCACAGATGGCACTGGCAAAATCATCAGCAGCAGCTCCCCCAGAATCTTTGGAAGGAGATGAATGGCTGTCAGGAAAATCCAATTGTATTGATGAGTCAGATATGTCCCTATTGTCATTCTCATCATCAAATGCTGAGGGAACACTAACTGAGGCAATGGAATTTGAGGCCTCACTTTCACCATCTGGCTCCTAAAATGAGACCAAAATAGTTTTAATTCATTAAGAGGGTTTAAACTGAAAAATATTCTAGGGGTTACTAGAAAAAATGAATGCAAAATTTTAGTATGTTCGTTCTTGTAAAATGCATACTTACTAAAAATTTCAACAATATCATCAAAAAAGAGAGAAGTAACCTATTATTTGAGATAATTGATTTTTAGAGAAATTCAAAGAGCTTTAATTTCCACCCCCTTTGCAACTTGGGACCTCATAATTGTGAAAATATGCCAGGTACTGTGCTAAGAATCTTATTTACTTATCTTCATGAATCCTTACAACTATCCAACAAGTAAATATAAGTATATTCCATTTATTTATAAGAAAACTAATGTTTATAAGGTTAAATAATATTTTATATGTTTTAAACCTAGAAAGTAGGGGAACTAGACCTTGAAGCAAAAGTTTGTTTGATTTTCAAGTGTACGTTCAGCTATGTTACGCCAAATAGTTGCTTGAAAAAATATAAAGCACAATATGGGGGTATTTTTTCCATTGCTTTAAGGTACCTTGAGAGAATGGGTAGTGTGAAAAACCTACACAGAGAATTTTCAAATGATAAAGTGAATGATGGAAAATCAACTTACACAAACTCAAAGGAATAAACATATTTTGATGAAAATCTAGCCTGCTTTCAGTAAAATTACTCAAAGATAAAAACCACAAATTGTGACAATTTAGGTGGCATTCTATATGCTATGGGAAAGCATATCAACTGTTTTTAGTAAACCTGTTTATTGATGACCTCCTCTTTGTGCATAGTGATTCTTGGCACAGAGAGTTGTGCTACCCTGTCAGCGACTGGTTTTTATGAACTTTCTAGCCACAAAAACATGTTCTAGCAGTATATCCCTTTTAAATTAAAATGAAAGGAAGACCCATTTATTCTGTAAATTTCAAAAATATTACTAAAGATAACTAGAGACACCCAGGTGTGTTATAAAACTAATGTTAAGACATCCTGTTTTAATCTTTCTTTTCATCGCTTCCACAAATTCTTTTTTTTTAATTTATTTTTTTATTATTGGTTGTTCAAAACATTACAAAGCTCTTGACATATCATATTTCATACATTTGATTCAAGTGGGTTATGAACTCCTATTTTTACCCCATATACAGATTGCAGAATCACATCAGTTACACATCCATTGATTTACATATTGCCATACTAATGTCTGTTGTATTCTGCTGCCTTTCCTATCCTCTACTATTCCCCCTCCCCTCCCCTCCCCTCCCATCTTCTCTCTCTACCCCATCTACTGTAATTCATTTCTCTCCCTTGTTTTTTTTTTCCCTTTCCCCTCACATCCTCTTATATGTAATTTTGTATAACCCTGAGGGTCTCCTTCCATTTCCATGCAATTTCCCTTCTCTCTCCCTTTCCCTCCCACATCTCGTCCCTGTCTAATGTTAATCTTCTTCTCATGCTCTTCCTCCCTGCTCTGTTCTTAGTTGCTCTCCTTATATCAAAGAAGACATTTGGCGTTTGTTTTGTAGGGATTGGCTAGCTTCACTTAGCATAATCTGCTCTAATGCCATCCATTTCCCTGCAAATCCCATGATTTTGTCATTTTTTAGTGCTGAGCAATACTCCATTGTGTATAAATGCCACATTTTTTTAATCCATTCGTCTATTGAAGGGCATCTGGGTTGGTTCCACAGTCTTGCTATTGTGAACTGTGCTGCTATGAACATCGATGTAGCAGTGTCCCTGTAGCATGCTCTTTTAAGGTCTTCAGGGAATAGTCGGAGAAGGGCAATAGCTGGGTCAAATGGTGGTTACATTCCCAGCTTTCCCAGGAATCTCCATACTGCTTTCCAAATTGGCCTCACCAATTTGCAGTCCCACCAGCAACACGGAAAGACATATGGACAGATGGACATAGGTAATTTTCCACTGATAACTACTATCCCATCAGAAAGTACTCACGGTATTTTCTTCCTGTGTTCCCCCCTTTTTTAATTTCCTTTATTGATTTCTTCCATAATTATTACATGTGTATCATGACCAGGCCCTAGGTTGACTTTGAGTTTGGATGAATTATTAGAAAAGTAACCAAAGACGGAGTATACACAGTTTCTTGCTTCTAATAGTTCATAATCTTGTGTGATAGACATCACTAAACAAATAACTAAGTTACAAAATTATAAGTACCAAAATGGAACTATATGTAAAATGCTTGCAAGCACAGAGGAGGTATTATCTAATACTGCTTTGGGGAATCAGAAATGACATTTGATTTGAATCATAAAAGATGGCTAACTCAACAAATTAAGAATAGGTGAGAGGGCAGCCTTCTAGACAGAGGGGAAAGTTTGCACAGGGAACAATAATTCATGAAAAACAGCACAGCATCTTCAAAGCTACTATGAGTGATAGGATAATATGCTAGTAAAGTAGATTGGCACAATATTTTCTTGTTCTGGAGTTCCACTTTAATTTTCAGATATCTAGATGCTGTGAATTTACCAAGAATTAATTCAAATACCATGTAATCTAGGAAATCTCTGGGAAAATTCCTATTGATATAGCATTAGTGAAGCTACACAAGTATTTTAAATCTATTTATAAAATCAATAAACATTGTTGAACTATAAAAATGACTAAACAGAGGACTTTACTTCAATTAAAATTTTATGTGTTACTAATTCCTTAAAAAATTAAACATGCACTTACATATGACAAAGTAATTTCACTCACAAGTATGGACATCAAAAGAATGAAAAGTAGATACTCAAAGAGATACTTGTATACCAACATTCAAAGAAGCTTATTCAATGTAGCCAGAAAGTGGAAACCAAACACAATGTGGTAAATACATATGATGGAATATTTTTTATCTGTGTAAAGTAATGAAATTCTGATATATACTATAAAATAACCCTGAAAATATTATGCTAAGTAAAATAAGCCAAAGACGAATGAACAAATATTGTGTTTCAATTTATATAAGATACCTAGAGAGAATGTAGAATACAGGTTACCACAGACTGAGGGGATGGACTGGGATTTAACTGCTAAGAAAAATAAAAATGTAATAAAATTGGATACTGGTGAAGTTTGAACAATATTGTGAATGTTCTTACTTTCACCAAATTGTAAATTTAAAATAGTTAAAAATGTAAATTCTGTGGTATGTATTTTACAATAAATATAATTTTTCCAGAAAAAAAATTGTATGTGTTAACAGACACTACTTTGAATATGTGGTTTGAGTAAACAAAGCAAACAAATAAAAGACATTTGTCCCCAGAAGTAAATAGAAGCCTCCAAATTAGTAGCAAAGACACCCACATACCTGTAATTTAAAAATATTTAAGGCTCTGGGTTGAAGGTTAAAATCTATTTGGAATATCTGGAAATGTCACATATCACATTCAGAAAATATCCTCAAAATGAAAGGAGTTTCTCTTTTTAAAATGGTGCATTACCTCCTGTTGATGTTCAAAGTCCTGGAATACAGGTCTCTCCAATCCTAGATCCTCTATCTCTGAATAATTTTCTCCTCCAATGTGTCCAAGTGCTCCATAATCATTATTGGCCCAACTGACTCCCTTACTTCCATTACTCCTGCTACCTCTTCCATGTCCTTCCTGGTCTCCAATGGCTGCATTGTCCCCATTGGCTGCACTTCTTCCATGGCTTCTATTAGCTCTATAGAAGCCATAGCCTCTGGTGGCTCCTTGATTTCCAACACTTGCATCACTACCTTCTTGCATGAACCTTCCATCTCTGCCATAGCTTGCCCTGATAACAAGGGAAAATGAGTGAAATAAGGCCACCAAATAAAAACACATTTTGAGAGTGAACAAATGAAATAAAATTAAAATTTATCTTATACATTATATCTACCATGTCCAGGCATGTTTTAGGTCTATGTGATACTATTGGTGTGATATAGACAAGAAAAATGCCTGTGTCCTGTTAATCTTAAATATTGAACTAACACCACAGCACTGTCAATGACTTAGCTATACGTGAACAAAAGAGGGAAAAATTTTTATTCTTTGTTAGGTATATGTATTAGGTTAGAAGAATAAACATGTATTTGTTTCTTAAATAATAAACTGTTTCATGCATTAGAAACTTCAGAGAGATGTGAATGATCAATCCCATATCTTTGGCTTAATACAATATATTTGTAAAAAATTTTCTTGCAATATATCAAGTTTAAATAATATACTAATTTAAAATATTATCTGATTTTCTAACATATGTAAAGTCTGCTTAGTTAAAAAAAATCTCATTGGTCAACTGTTCCCATCAGGAAGTTCCAGAAATATAAACCTAGTATTTTACAGAACTAAGATAATCATTTAATTATTTTGTAAAAACACCATCCTTCAGAAAATATTGCAATGCTCTTTTTTTTTTTTGCAGAAGAGACAACATTAAATGTATGTGCATGGAGAGATTCTAAAAGTAACGTTATGTTACAATGGAAATTTTGATAGAATTTTAGTTGGAAAAAATCAAATGATTTCTTGGTAATTTCCCCATTAATTAACCATAAGAATCATCATGTTAGTTTTGTTATATAGATGACACTATCTCAGCTGTTTGAGTAATGAATAGCTGTGTTTGAAAAAATATTAGAAGCATTCATTTTCCCCACTTTTCATGCCCATTGTGGTTTTACAGGGTAGAAAGATTTTTTTCAATATTTTTATTGATACATTTTATCACACACAATAGTGGGATTCATAGCTTCAGTGGCATTAATTTTAATGGAAACAAATAACTCCAGTTATAAATAAATAAGCTAATAAATACTTGTTTAAAAAATAATATGCAAATAATGAAAAATTAAGCATTCTGCATTAAACCAATTTAAAATATATTGCTGAAGATCAAACCATGTACTAATATGTAAATGAAATTAACTAATACTTTTGATAATACATCTTAAAAATAAACCAGAGATGCAAATATATCTGAAGTTATAAAACATGGATAGTGTAAGTAATCTAGAAAAACCAACCTTGACCAATTAGGAGCATCATCATAATTATCATTTATGTCATCACCAGATACATCCCTGTTGTCACCAACATCATGGGCTTCACAGACACCAGTTGCCTGATCAACCTGGTTATCCAAGTCATCATTGCCAAAGGCATGGTCATAGGTATCTTCATAAGCATCATTAGAATCCTCATCATTGCCATCAGTATCAGCACCAGCATCATAGAGTTCAACATAATCACCATCCTCTTCAGGTGGCTGAATGACAGGTGCAGGAGTTAACCAATCATTCCGGAAGATTTCAGAGAGTGCATTATAGCCCACCCATTCATTTGTCAAGTACACAGGGGGTGATATTTTTCCTACTTTAAATCCATCTGGAACCTGTGTGCACAAGAAAGGTTAATGTAGTCTCTAGTAGTCTTTCATTTTCTTTTAGATTGTGAAGTTTCCATGCTAACAACAGTTTAAAAAATATTCTCAATTGGAACAAAGATGTTTGCTCACTAGATATAGCCAAGATTTTAGTGAAGATGCCAAAACCCAAACATCAGGCTGTGATTATTAGTGCAGTTTCCAGATCACACAGAGCAAGATTTACTCACTTTGCTTTTTGTATTACTCCTATTTGTCTGCTGAGGAGTAGATATTTACATTTGATGCTGGAGAGCAGAACAGGTGAATTGGAGCTTTATGAACACATTTTCCTTTTGTTTTATTCCCTGATGTTGGGATTAATGTGTCTTGAAATCAGTAGGTTAATTTCCCAGCTTTCATTTTACATTCCTTAGGTTATCTTAAATTATTTCAAACACTTTTTAAAGAGTAAATTAATATAAATTCACCTCTTGTGTTTAGTAGGTGACATATAGCAACTGTTTGGTATAGATATGTGTATGCTAGAGTAGGAGTAACTATAAAAATGAAATGATCTGTAAGCTTACTGCAAAATAAGTTTAAAGATTTTTAATTTATGCAATCAAAGAATACTTTATACTTTACTAAGTATTTTATTTTTTTATATTGTCCCAATACCCAAAGAGTGCTGTTAAAACTTAGACATCTAATTCTTACCCCTTACTTTGAGATCTATGCTTATCTGCTTACTACCCTTCTCTGTCCAATATGTTCTGACAGAAGAAAAGTGAAGATAAAATAGTGTCTGATCAATTAAGGATTTTTCATTTAATTTTTAACTTCTAAATTTTGTATTCTGAATGTTCCCATAGTAAAGAAAATCATTTTCAAAACAATACAAAATTAAACTCTTTAACCTTTCCCTCCTTAAGTGAGTATGATAAAATGTACATCAAAACAAATTAGAAATTAAGAACAGATATAAATGTGGTAAGATGGACACCTACATGGACATCAATTAGCAACTTCTGATCAATAGTAGAATAAGGTGGTGATGACTGAGACCTCCTCCCAATCACAGGACTCTCCTCCTCAGAAGATGATTCTATGGAATTCCAAAAACATGTTAGTAATAGTGGTGATTACACTGATTGCCTTCATTTGTTAGTATATCAGTTCAATTCCATGTTTTTCTTGTAGCCTCTGTAATTCCATTCAGGAAATATCACCTGATAAATACTCATGGGCCCAGAATCCTAAGATTTATTTACTTATGTAGGTATGTATGTATGTACTAGGGATTGAACCCAGGGGTGCTTAACTACTGAGTCACATCCCCATCCCTTTTTCTTTTTTAAAAATTTGTTCTAATTAGTTATACATGACAATAGAATACATTTTGACACATTGTACACAAATGGAGCACAACTTCTCATTCTTGTACCATCCCTTTTTTAAAGTATTTTATTTAGAGACTGTATCTCACTAAATTGCATAGGGCCTTGCTAAGTTGCTGAGGCTGGCTTTGACTTTGTGATCCTTCTGCCTCAGAGTCCCAAGCTCTACCATCAGAAGCAGTAGTAGGCTCAAATATTATTCCATCTGTAGACTCACATGACATTTTTGTTTTCAATATTTGATGTATACTTTCTAAATATTTCTCCCTATCCATGTAAGGTTTCTGTCTCTCTTCTATGTAAGAATGGTAACTAGATTGACACATTTTTTAAAAAATGAATGTTGGGGTTACCACTGGCCTCACATACTCACCTAGAAGAAAAAGAGACCAACAGTGTATTAGATAATGATAGATTGGCCAAAACTCTCAGGAGTTAATTGTGCAATCTTAAGCCCCTCCAATTTTCATCTAGAGATATATCTTCAACTATTTCAATAGAGTTGAAGAGTCAACTACTGAAAAGAGACAAAACTTCACCCTTTCTCCAAAGCTGGGAACTTTCTATATGAGTAGATCTGTGTAGTAGATCTTTCTGCAATGATAGAAATGTTCTATAACTTCACTATTCAATACGTAGCCACTGGTCACATATGAATATTGAATACTTGAAATGTGATCAGTATGCCTGAGAAGTGAACTTTTAAAGTTTATTTTTCTTTTCAGTTTTCATTTTAATTGCCACAAGTGGCTAGTTGCTTTCACACTGGACAGCTAAACTCCATAGGATAAATATTTCCATTTAAAACACAAATTTATACAGGTTAAAAGTGTAGCTTTTGACATTAATTTTAAAATCTAGTGAAAATAGTTAAAAGGCTCAAAAATCCATACATCTGGATGAGCATGTTCAGAAAAAAGTTTCCCTAAGGGAACATTCAGGTCACTATTTATTGTTTTTGTGTACTAGAAATTAAACACAAACACTACTGCCCCTCTTTTATTTATAGCCTTAGTATATACAGCCAAAGTGTAGCCACTACAACTCCGAAAAGCACACATTTATAAACACTGCTGTCTTTTGAGAACATTATAACAAACTCATCTTACAATGTATATCCTTATTTTCTGGCATTGTAATTTTCCCATTTATTATTTTTCTACAGAAGACTATGTTTTTGAGTCTTTTGGTCTGGCAGTAGACTAAATAATAAGTTTGGGTCAGTGTCTTATGATTTTGAGGCACACCTGTATAGTAAGGTCATTTCCTCTGTGATGAAACCTATAATCTCATGGGAATATCAAATGGTCTATGTAGTAAATAGAATAATATAACAGAATTTTTGAATTGAAAAGACATTTAACTATTATCTGCATAGATGTTATTCTCTCCTCCATCCTACCAATATTCATGACTATTGTGGTGCTTAATCCAACATTTATTTCAAAGAGGCAACATAAATAGACCCTAAATTTTTAGTTGTTTATCTAGTAGTAGTAAAGTTAGCCCTAGTTGAGCCAGAAAGATAAGATTCTTAGAAAAAAAAATCCTAAAATCACTCCTCATTAGGCTTCTATTACATATAAGAACATAGTATTTCTGCACAAGAATAATTTAAAATAATTTTGTCACTATATGCCTCTTAAGGTGAAAAATGGGGTTTTTAATTTCAGATCTTTGAACATTTGGTTTTAGATGTTCTTTTTATATTAACATTTTAATAAAATCTGTATGCACATTTTAAAAGATGACTTAGGGACTTGTTCAGGCATTTCCCACTTGCTTAACTTACCTGGCTTTCTTTTTTTAAACTTTGTAATGCCAGATTTTATGACTCAAGGCATAACTTTTGGTTTTGTTTATCACATTCCACAAAACTATAATTCATTTAAACTCTCGAAAGCACATGTTAAAATACTTGTTTGAAATTCATATCACAAATTTTGACTTTATTTTATGAATTGATTATTTTTTCATGTATTCTGAATGAAACTATCAATTTGTAACATTTAGAAATATTTGTGAGGTATTATGTATATCATATTTTGGGGAGGTGAAATAACAAGCTGACAAAACACACTCTCACAACTATTCCTGCCAGTATTGTAAAAGTTGCCTATAAATGTTAGCTTGGAGATGCATGTCTCAAGTTCCATTTCCATCATTTTGACACCGGATATAGTAACTAAATAAAGTTAAATTATCTACCTCCACAGAAATATTCCTAACTACTACTCAACTGCTAAAATACATTTCAGAAAAATACTTCTACTTCTCAAAAGACACCAATGACCACTGAATGATCAAATCCAAAGGCCTATTCCTACTTTGCCTCCCTTATATTTTTTATTCACTCTGTAATGAAATTCTTCTTTCTTGACTTCTGAAATATAAATTGTTAACCATTAACATTATGTTTTGACTGTTGAAACTTTGTGTTTTGAATCACCTGATGCTTCTGGGCAAATTTGAAGATTTTGTGAACTCCTTTGTCTGATGTCAATGGGCTGCTGAGCTTCTTCCAAAAGAGATGGTGGAGGAACACTAAAGAAAAGATGGAAAAGCATGTGCAATGTGCTAACATTCATAAGGGGAATGTACAACTTTTCATAAGGACCAACAAAATAGTTATATATATATATATATATATATATATATATATATATATGTCATACTGAAGAGAAATCGAGTATAAGTAATCTTTTTCAACTTCCAATTTTCTCCAAACTTGTTACATTATCAAGAAGAGAGAAATGATTTTTGAAACAGAAAAAAAACACGTTTCCATATAGCCCCTTTCCTTCACATGCCATATTTATTTCTTAACATTTGTATAAACTTTCTTTAAGGTACTATTCAGACATTATTACCTGAGAAACACAGTGAAAAACTTACAATGTTTAACATGGTAAATCTATTAAGTTATTAATATGTCAAATATTCTACTATTATTTCTTGATTTCAAATGCTTAGAGCTTACATTTAATGCACTATTCATGATTTAGATGGGTGGATAGAAAGGGAGGAAACTTTAGTCCTTGCTATTCAAATTCAAATATCATGCTACATGTTATAGTCACTTTGGCTTTTCTATATGGGAAAGGTATGTATGTATATGTATATGTATCTGTGATATACATACACAACACATATAATATATATATATATATATATATATATATAAATATCTACATATATATATATATAAATGATCTTTGAAAATTACTAAAGATCACGAATAGTACAAAGATAAAAATATAGGGACTGGTGTCAATGTCACATATGATATCTTATTCATAAAATATTGAGTCTTAGATAAAATTTTGTCTCTAAAGTCATTTTCAGGCTTGCCCATTCTGTGGCATTAGCTTCTGCAGATGGGGATAAGACTTGTGTGTGTTTATCATGTAGTACATGCAAGAAAACTCACTTGAAATTTCAAGTTATTTGGTTGCCAATTACTAATTGAAAATTGACAAATGATTCAAATAATTGTTTTATTTATATTGTGGATTTTGCTAGCTAATTATCAACTAAATGATATGGGGACTGGAGTAAGACCAAATGTGAAAGATGTAGTTATTGAATCATTGTAGTTAAGTTTTAAATGTGGGACAATCATGACAGTGCTGGTGATGTTGTCATTGATATTTTAGTTTTTGTTTCACAGAGCACTTCGTGTCAAATAAACAAAGTTTACTTTTCCATGTGATAATCATGAATAACTTGAATACAAAATCAGACACATACCTTGAATTGAACTTGACACGGTGTGGACGTTGTGGACATTCCTGGTTATAAGGCACGGAAGCTGGCATCTCTTGGACCTTGAAGACACAATGTAATTCTTAGGTAAAATTCTCAATCATAAATTATTTTGAGTTACTAATTTAAAAAATGCCATTCTTTATATATATATATATATATATATATATATATATATATATATATATATTTATATATTTTTATATATATTTTTATATATATTTATATATATATATTTGTTCACAAAAATATGACTTATAAAATATAATTTTTATAGATAGTTTCTATTTTCATAGTTATTTATAGTACAACATTGGAACTGCTTAGCTGTAATTTCTTTTTTCTTTTTTTGGTACTGGGGATTGAACCCAGGGGCACTCAATCACTGAGCCACATCCCAAGCCCTTTTTGTATTTTATTTAGAGACAGAGCCTCACTAAGTTGCTTAGGGCCTCATTAAGTTGCTGAGCTGGCTTTGAACTCACGATTCTCCTGACTAGGCCTCCTGAACTGCTGGGATTATAGGCATGCCCAACCACCCAGGTTAATTTCAAATGATTCCTTTGAATTTTACTATACAAACAGATTCTTGAGAGCATATTATCAAAATCACTCATTTTGTTGTTGGGGAATCTGTATCCCAAAGAAGGAAAATGGCTTTTCTAAGAATATTGCATGAAGTCAAAGAAATATCTAAAATCAGAATGCAGGCCTCCCAACTCTTAATTTAGTTTTTTTTCCATGTTATCACATTAATTTTTTATATCAAGTCCATACTTCTCACTCAAATTTAAGAATTTAAGTTAAAATTTCTTACATGTTTAAGCTAATCCTAGATTTTGAAATGCTGTCACACATACATGCACATCATTAAAATCTCTCAAAAATCAAAATTGTCTCACTTTTAAAAGTCCCTTTTTAATTTTACAGTTTGTACTGTCATAATCAGTATTCCAAATACTTTTGCTTCTCAATAAATTTGGATTTTACTATTTATAAATCCATCCAATACAGCAAAACACTCAAGAAAGGGCACATATAATGAGCCAGTTTTCATCACATCAATGAGGCAAATTTACTTTCTGCCAATATTGGCAGAGAGGGCCATGAAATGTTTCCTTGCTTCATGCAGTTTTATATACCTAGGTTTCTACTCACAATAGTTTGTAGCTACTAAAAATATAGATCATTCTGTCATGCAACGAGAACATCACACTAAATTCTTTAGAAAGGCAATTTCAACATTTTACACTTTAAAAAAATCTAGCATTTTCATGCTGATAAAATCACTCTATTTTCTAGAAACTGTAGTAGCTTTAGTATACTATTTTTCACTGTGAAGTGACTTTTTCAAGGCTGTTTTTACACTCCAGCAAACAGATTGATGAAAAATGAAAAATCTTATCAATCTTCCACATGTTTTACTAATGAGTGTTTCCAAATATAACCAGATGTTTGGCAGTATGCAGTTTAAATGTCTACCTGACAAACTTTTTATACCTTCAGTACAGATAGCTGGAGTCATATTGACCCAATCTAATCCTTTTGGTTTTATGAAGGTGATCTCAAGAGGTTTATTGTATTGAATTTTAGGTATATATGTATGTATGTATATATTTGAGGCAGGGTATTGCTGTGTTGTCCAGGCTGGCCTTGAGCTCTTGGACTCAAGTGATCCTCCCACCTCCAAGCAGCATGCTTTATCACGTCCAGCTTAAGAAGTTTATTGACACTCTTAAACCAAAGGCCAAAATCACTCAAAACAGATATGGCTCAAAGTGGCAAACACAAGGCCTAATATGAGCTGTCTATGTCTGGTCTAATAAATGGGAAGAGGAGCATTATTAGTAAAAATGGCTTATAATATATTCTCAAATAAACACAGCTCATTAGATTCCCTGCTTACAGTCTCGTACTTAAATTGTTACCTAAGAGTATAAGGGAACTCATTTGCTAATACAGTGAAGAAAACATATTGCCTCTTCTCATTAAATAATACAATCTACTTCTGCAAATGATTCGTATCTATAAATAAATATTTTAACTATTCACTTCAGAGGAAGGTTATTATTGGGGAATTATATTTAAAAGGTGAACTTTCCATGAAAGACTTCATAATAGACTCCTATGAAGCCTCTTTTGCTAATGAATATCTTATGCTAATTAGGAACAACAATGATGCTCCTGATTCACCATCAATAGAGTGGGAGTTTATGTTCTTTACACATTCACCCAATCCATCTTAGTGACTAAGACTTTTTAGATGTCTGGCTGTTAGGAACACTGGCAGTGATAATACTACCTTGTACACATAAGAACTGAACTTACCACACTGGCCTCACCAAATCATGTGCTAATTAGGATACTGTTAATGAAGTCATGGAAACAGAAGTTAACCTGGATGCTAGAATGAACTAATTATTCCCATAAGTGTGAGGAAATAAATCACAGATTAAATTATCCAAACTCTGTCACAAACGGTATCCCAGAACAGATACAATCAAGGAGAAAGTTATGCCTATTTATGTTATCCACATTTTTATGGGCAATATTTCTACTTAAGGAATGACTGACAAACTATGATCTTTCAAATTATGGGCATTTTGTAGACATTTTATTTTAAATGAGTGAAATAAGCCTGTTGATTTAAAAAAATGATGCTATTTGTTGGTGATGATAAAATTAAGTTTTCACAAGAAAATTATAATTTTTCAACTTATATCTGCCACTGAGCACTTGACAGCTTACAAATACTCAATTATATTCATGATGAAATTGCTAATGATATTAACATTTTTTTTTTCATATTGTATAATTAAACATGCAAGCATTTGGGAAGATCAATACAGGCAGTTAGCCAATATTTTTCCAACTGACAAATGCATAAAGTGAAAATTCATGCATAAGCAAAACATCTAATTCCAGCACAAGATAGACCAATGCATTTTAATATTACTAATTATACAGAATTTCATTGATATGTCTTTAGATTTCATTTCTTTAGTTTTGGTATATCAAAGAATATGCACAATAGTTTGGGATATCTACAAAAAGTCTCCCTTTCCAACTATCTATATGTGAGAAACTAGATTTTATTCAATATACTAGAACTAAAACATCATATGACAACAATTAAATGCAGAAGCAGATATGAGAACCCAGCTGTTTTCCATTAAACAAGATAAATTAAAGAACTCTGCAAAGAAATAAAATGGTTACATCTCTCAAATTTTGTTTTAGAAAATATAAATATTTTTCATCAAAATTTATTTATTATATTAACATGTAATCATTTCATTATTTTTGAAATAAATTAGTATATATTTAATTATTTTGTTTTAATTTCTACTGTTAAATATTGAATAATATACTCTATATGATAAACAAAAGCTTTTTGGAGTGCTCAATATTTAAGATTATAACAGTTTCTAAGACTAAAAAGTTTAAGAACCAGGACTGGGGTTATGACTCAACAGTAGAACGCTTGCCTAGCATGTGTGAGGTGCTAGGTTTGATCCTCAACACCACACAAAAATAAATACATAAAATAAAGATATTGTATCCAACTACAACTGAAACAAAATATTTTAAAAAGTTTAAGAATCACTGTTATATGCTCCTCCTAATGTCATAGAAATTCATTTTGAGAAATTTACCTCATCTTCTCTAGGGTTTGGATCATGTTGCTGTGATGGTTCTATTTGTACTTCTGCCTGAATTGAATGAAATACTTCATCATTGTCTGATGATTCATCTTCTTTGTCCTTTGAAACAAAAAGTAGCATAAATATTTTAATTTTTGTTAAAATACAAACAAAAGTAACAACTGCATCATCATAATATACAGTTGAAAAGATTAATTTCCAAATTTTAAAACTGATTTAAACCAGTAGTTTCTAAGAGTTTTGAATTAGGATCTCACTTAAAATCTGAGGAATGCTACAAATTGTCCATAGAAAAATGCATATAGAAACAGATTTGCATATGTTTTCAGGGGGATTGCTAACCTACTGAAGCTCATCTGTGGGATCCAGATTAAGAATTTCTGCTCTAAGCCTTGATTAACTCATAATCCTCAATAAAGCTTTGCATTTACTAAACTGTTAGAAACTCCAACGTTTGGTCATTTTGAGTAATGAAAGATCTATCTGTGGTATAAAGGTGTTAAAGTTCCTCCCTAATTGATCTCCAAGAATTCAGGATATTTTTTTTTTCTTTTAGGTCAATCAGTATTATCCCTTCAAGTCAAAGAGGGTAATGAACACATGTTTTGTGTGTGTGTGTGTATGTGTGTGTGTGTGTGCGTGTGCATGTGTGTGTGTGTGTTTTCTGATGGTGAGCCGAAGCATCTACAAATGCCTCTAAATTTTAAACTAAATTTCAGGTATTTCAAAAGACCTATGACTTCAAGTATAGGTAGTTTCAATACTTTTCTTTTGTGATTTATTAAGGATCATACAAAAAGATTTGAATGATTGTTCAAGATGCTAGGGTCATGGGATTGGTATCTATTATTTATTAACTTTTCCTTCTATTATAAAATGGCTTCTCACATATATATGAAAACAATATATGACAATAAGTATGTGTTATGTTGGTGATACCCGACTTTTGAGAGATAAATAAAGGTGTGTTTTTTTCCCACTAATGAGAGCCCATTATATCTTCAGTGGTTAACAGCGTTCATTGAAAATATTAGCATGTTAGAGGCTTTAATTTCTGGGAAATATCACCATTCCAGACTCATACTTTTCCTTCTCCATCTGCTTTCTTTCTCTTTATATTCTAGGAGTTAGAAGGCCCCATTTTGGCCTTTCTTTTGCTGCTTTTACTTTTTTTCATGCTAAACATGCCAGGGAATTAGCATTTGTTCAATTGATTCCATGTGCACAAACCTAAAGAATTCTTATGTAGATATTCAGACAAGGTTCATTTGTAATTACCACATGAATTGTTATTAGGTAAGTGGAAGTGGATAACAGTGTTTAATTTAGTATCATCACAGTAATTCTTTTACATAAATGGGGAAAATAGAAAGTTTTTCTAATCTTGTCTAAAATCATTAATTTGCTTATCAAGCTCACAAACTATTATCATTAAAGTTGCCAAATTAAATTCAACAGCTCCATCAAATTGCATTCATTTAAATTATAAGCCTTTGAAAGAATGAAGATTTATTCTTAAATAAGAGATGTTAACACAATGTATTGCATATTTCAAAAGGGTGCAGAGACCAAGTTATAACTTGTTTCATGGTCTGTGCAGTTATACCATTGATTAATTTTGCAAAATGGGTGGTAATTCTTTTTAAACAAGTCATAAACCTGGTAAATACTGTCTACAAAATGTTTGGGAAACTACTTTTCCTTCTCATTATAATATGTACAAAATTTGTATTCATTTATTCACACAGTCTAGCATTCCACAGCAAGAAAGAACAAATAAAATAACTTCAGGGATAGAGAAATATAAAACACGTATCTTTGAAATTTAAATTACGAAAGTAATGTTTAAATATCAAAATATGCATATAGTATCTCTTTACTGGTTAAGGGGATACTAATTAGAAAACAAATAATTATATTTTATTTGGTTTTACAGAAGAAAAAAAAATCAAACATCAGAATTTTTCAGTCAGTTAAAAATGCCAAGCACTCTTACATTTTCAACTTGTCTCAATTCCTCCTCATGCTGATTAAAGATGTCCTCCCATCTGCGTTGGCGCCTTTGCCTGCAAGCTTCTAAATCTGAGAGTTCAATTTCTTCATGTTTCCGTGATGACTTTATCCTAAACCTCTTTGGTGACAGTCTTTTTGCCAGAGCTTGTCTTAGACTAGAAACTTTTGATTTTTTCTTCCGAGCCTGTTCTGGTTGAGAGTAAAACATGTTTGATGACAGGTTTTCCATCAGGGTTTGCAGCAGACCAAGTGGCTTTGAATTATCTGAGTTTGGTGCTCGGAGCAAGTCTCTTGATAGTCCTTCTATCAGTGCTTGAACTGAGTCAACTGCCTGTGAGGGCTCTAGTGCCCAGCCCTGTGCCTGAGAGGACCCTTCATTTTGCTCTCCTATTGGAATGAGCACCTGAGTATCCAAATGTAGTGGCAACAGCACATGGTGGTTCTGTGACAGTAGAGGCAGGAACACCTGGGCATGTACTCTCAATGACTCAGGTTCCTCCCCCTCTGCCTCTGCCTGTGCAGGCTCAGCAGCCTGTTCCTGTACCTCTGGCTGTTCAGGTGCCTGGTTTTGCTCCAGATGCTGTTCAGGGACCTGATTCTGCCTCTGCTGTTGTCCAGCAGCCTGGCCCTGCCTTTGCTGTTGTTCAGGAACCTGATTGTGCCCATGAAATTCCTCTGGCACCTGATCTAGATCTTGAGGCTGTTCTGATGCCTGGCTCTGGATGTGGGCCTGAGTCTGCTGCTCTTTGGGTTCTGGGGTGTGAACCTGTAGAGGCTTAGGAACCTCATCCTGAGCCTGTAGTGGCATGACCACCTGGACTGCCCTCCGAAGTCGTGGAGGTGCCTTCATCTGCATGTGCAAAGGCTTAGATGACTTAGACTTAACTTGAGCCTGTAGTGGCATAAACACCTGAGCTGCCCCATGTAGTCGTTGAGGTGCCTGAGCCTGCCCTTGTGGAGGCCTACGTGTGTTGTCCTGAGCCTGTAGTGGTGTAAATACCCTGGCTGCTCCCTGTAGTTGCTGAAGTGCCTGGATCTGTGGCTCCTCTTGATCAGGTAACCACCTTGGCTGAGAAGGTTCTCCATGCAGGACTCTAAGTGGTCTGCATCTGCTGCTGGTTGGCAATCTCAGAAGCTCATGAGTACAAGAGGGCCCTCTGAAATAAACAAATGATTGCCACACAATTCGAAACTTTAGTGGAATGGAGTCATTCAAGGAACTATTATTTTAAAATATATTTTCTATGAAAATATATATTTTCAGTAAATCTTTGTGGAATCATTCTTGTAACATCTGAACTATCTTTTTGCAAACATTTATAATGCTTAATGTATTAAATTATTAGTGGAGTCTGATAATATACTTTAAAAATATCTTTTAATTATACATGTACAAAATATCTTTATTTTGTTTATTTATTTTTATGTGGTCCTGAGGATGGAACCCAGTGCCTTACATGTGCAAGGCAAGTGCTCTGCCATTGACCACAACCCCAGCCCTGATAATATACTTGATTATTCTATTACCACTTATTAAGGTGTCATTGAGTAGTCATGAAAATTCTCAACATTTCCACTCAATATCTCATTGAAACAGAGATCTGGCATATAGTTGTTCTGAGTAAAAGGCAACAGTATGGAATCAATTGCCATGTGTAAATTGCTACCATAAAATATATATGCAATTTGTTTAACACACCTGAATCTTCTCATGGTGTACTGTTCCTTAATAGCTTCTTCTCTTTCAAAGACCAGAGGTATCCCTTTTTTATGAAAGAGAAAGAAATAATGTATAAACACTCAGTGAAATGCATTTAATTTAATCCACCTTAGTTACTGTGTATACTCTAAATGCTCAGGATATAGAATTTACAGAGGCAAGAAGGCACTGAAGAAAGTAGGCCTTCATAAACACTTGCTTGGTACTTTATACAATATTCTATCAGGCCCACTTTTACAATATAGTACTGCTATTACAGGCAGATTAATTTTTCTGGACATAGGAAAGAAAATTTGGCTACACAATTGCTACAATTCTAGGAAAAGAAGCAAGAATGGGGCAATAAAAGAATGAGACAAGAGAAGCTCTAGATGGTTGGTGGGCATAGCTTCCAGCTATATGATCTATATGTAAAACTTTGTGGCTCAGGATTAACATTTAGTCTTTATAAGAAGAAGATAAAACCTTCATTTTGGGTTTTATACTTAATACATTTAAAATATTCATTTTTTCTATAAGTTTTGCTGTCACTACTGAACTATAGAAGCTTATCATCAAGAGCTTTGCTTTGGATTTCCTATATTAAAATATTGGGGACACTATGTTTACATTTTTCAGGGTAACCTCTATCTAATTGGGACTTTTCCTATAGGTAATGTTCTGGACATTTTGCAACTCCAGATATTAGGAAGTTATCAAATAGACTTATGGTTTTTCTGCACTCATTTGGGATTGGTTGGCCTCTGTAATGCTGGTCCAACGATTTCATCACTAGAAGCATAAATAATCTGGCTGCTCCTTACTTGAAAACAGGATACTTATAGTTATGCAGATAGAACAGCACCACTATGATAAATCCTGGAGTTGATCTGAGGACACCTGCTATCATTGTAGTTTCTCCATTTCAACTCCATTGTTTCCTTGGACCTAGCCTGTGGTATCTGAAAGTAAATGTAGAATGTGCCACAAAACAAAGTTAGAGCTTCCAGACTAGTTTCTCCTAGGACTGGTGGAAAGCCATCTTGTCATTTTGAACATCAATAGATAGAATTTTGCTTCTGTTAGTATAAATTAATTCCTTTGATTATATCTCATAGTTGGAGATAAGTACATAACATGAGCTTTATGTGATATACAAACATTACTTCAAATTGGCAGTTAATAAATGATTAAGTACAAACCTATTTATCTCCATAGAGTCAATTAAAATATCTTTATTAGGGCTTTACTTAAAATGACATTATCACATGATGAAATTCTATTTGAGACTTTCAATGTCTTCATAAATACAAATGCTTGCCAGATATAACTAGGAGCAATGAATAATCTCATATATAAACACTCAGGCAAAAGTTAACCATTAGAATAAATTGTTGGAGAAACTAAATATTGAAGGCCTCAGACCTTTTATTTTCAACCTAATTTTTTCCTAAAACCAGTAAATTCTGATATCATCTGAATATTCATTTCAGTGAAATGAAACCTCATAGATTATACCTTTTTTCTGTCTCTTTTTAATGATTCCAGTAAGATGTTTTGTTAATGACTCAACAACATGGCGTTCATTTTTTATGTTCCGAACAAATGGGTGGTGAAGCATGTTTGCAGAAGTAGGGCGAAACAGGAAGTTTTTTATCATGCACTTTTCCATGAAATTGTGGAACTTGCGGGACCTAAAATAAATGAATAAAAGGAAAGAAAGAGCATTTTTAGGCTTGCCATACCTCTATCCACCCCCAACCCCATCCATGCCTCTCTGAAAGTCATTTTTTTATAAGAGTTGTCTCTAGTTATCATAGTCCTTTCAATCAGCCAATATCCTGCAGTTTAAAAATATACATTATAAAATGAGGTCATTTAAACCTCAGAAAAAGAAAGTATTTTCTACCCAAATAATAGTAAATATTTCAATGGCTTCAGAAGCATGCACATAGTAAAAACACATATGGTATTCTGGCAATTAAATGGTTAATGTGTGTATGTGTGTGTATGTATGTGTGTGTGTGTGTGTGTTGTGTGTATATATATATATATATATATATATATATAGTCTGTGAGACTAGATTGGTCATCCTACAATAGTCATCCACTGAAGCCAGAATATTTAACTTACTATATGAAATTTTAGCTGCAGAAGCATGGATATAATGATACAATAAGAGGGTGCTAACTAACCAGGACTAACTGATCTTATAAAATGGCCCACAGAAAGGATATTGCCAGAAAGCCTGAATCTGTAGAAAGGGTTAAATTGAATTACAAGGAAGAATGTCAATAATCAAATCATAGTTACCATTTCAATCAGGAAAAGTAATAAATACTGAAAATAAAGCAAGAGCTTAAGGTACTAGGTCAACAGCTTCAGAGAGAATTTCCAAGTTTAGCTGTCCAGTACCACTCTGAAGGAACAAGTCCTCTGCTGTAGATCTATAATTCCTCTTTTGTTTCATGGGCCAACCAAAAGGGCTGTATATCACAGTCACTCACTGCCTAAATAGGCACAGTGAGAAACTTCACAAATGGTTAGCATTTGGGGAAACAAATGAAAAATGCCCATTAATGACAGAACAGTAATGTGATCATCATATTCTGAAGGATATTATTTATTTCTAGCTGGCTGGCTATCTCTTTGGTGAAACAGGATTGATAGAATGAATAAAAACTTTGCTATATAAAAATATTGAGTCAATGTATTTAGAAGATTAACACATTTATCTTTACCATCCACTGGATTTGACAGTGGGAGCAGATTCCCGCAAAATAACGAAGAGGGCTTCCAAAGGCTGAAGGTTACACAGAGCTGCAAAGGGAAACAGATAGGTTTAGAAAGAATAAAGAGGGTAACAACATTTGGGAGGGGATTCTCAGAGTTCTTTTACATATCCTGTTAGGCATTAAGGGATGAGTACATACAAAAAAAATAAAGGTAGTGTCATTGTAACACATTGTATTATATAAGATTCCAAAATTTCATATTACTGGGTGTGACAAATAATAAGTTCAATTAGATAAGAATTTTGAAATGTGTGGTTGATCTACATTAGAAAAGTTAATTAAAAGTAGAGATAAATACAATCCCTTGTTCCCTCAATGTAGGTATTTATAGTCGGAAAAGTAGAATATGTAGTTAAAGAATGAAACTGTCTGGTATGTAGTAGGTATTTAATAAATGTTAACTATTAATATTATGATAAAAACTTTATCTGGCAATTCATATCTGTGCCAAATTACTGGACTCTCATTCTTTTTCATACACATGGCATATAAAGAAAAGCCTATTTCGATATGAGCTATATAAATTAATTACCTCATTGGTTTGGGAATTCTGGGTTTTTCTATAAGTGTCAAAATATGTGTATCACTTCACTTATTTCCTCTTGTGTTTTGATTAAAGGAAGCTGGCAGTGCAAAACTTCCCCAACAGAGACCATTAATGTAAATGTCATCTAACACTACAAGCATGTCATTCATGAGAGGACAGTTTGATATGAACAATTCTTAATAGAATCATCCTTCCTCTCCCAAAATGCATTCCTTAGAAAACCTACAGTGTCAAACAGACCTCTCAGTAGTAGGGAAAAAACCCCTCACTAGAATTATTTTACTAGGGTGATATAAAGACAATTGTTCAAAGTTCAAGCTTTGTTCTCAATTACACGAGTATAAATAAATAGAAGGTTCAGGCTTATAATTGAGGGCAGAATTAGCACCAAGCCCAAAATATCAGGGTCATATTTGGCTCTTTTAATTCCTTTACTGTGTCCAATCAGTCACCCAATCCTGTCCTTTAAACATATTATGAGTTTGTACAATATTAAACAGTTGTCATTTATTAACATTTGAGCAACATTCAGTCAACTGACAACATCTTCAGAGGTCAAGAGTTAGCACATAGGGCAGGCAAGCCTTTTTTCCAATGGAAACAAAAAAGTCACAAAAGAATGGAGCATAGGGTGGGTAAAAGAGCTATGTCAACAGCAGCTGTGCATGGTTTCCTATGTGGCCTAATTTTAGGAATGTCAGTAAGTCCCCCCTCTCCCGCCAGCACATATCTCATAACACTGCTTAAATGTTTACCATTTTAGAGGCCCATTCCTTTGAAATAGCAAACCTTCTTTTAAAAACACGTCTCTTACGGGGTTGGGCACGTATTAAACTGAGCTTAGTTTAAATTAGGTTAAATAATGCAGTTTATTCCTAACATGTTGAGATCTGAAGACTTCTGAATACTGAAGAAATGAGCCTCTTGAAGGGTCAGAGGTAAATTTGAATCATGAGGTGTTCAGGAAAAGATTGACATAGGGCGTGCGGGAGGGACACAGCAAGGAATAGAAGTCAGACACTAAACAAGTATGATTGAAAATATTAAGAATGATTTCTACAATATCAAGAAAAATGCTAAAATTGGGAAAGATACAGTGGGAGATTAAGGTAAATTTGCTGATGTAGACTTGACAAGAAAGGGAAGATAACCCTAACCTGATTCTCTTTCAGGAAAAGATGTACATTTATAATAATAATAAGAATATATCTTCAACATTAGTTGACTACTAGCAATATTCTGGCCTTGGTTTAAAGGCCCCAATATTGTTTGAATTGCTACCCAGAACCTAAGGACTGAAGGTAGTCCTGGTATGCAAGAGTCCAGTTCTTCTCTTCACTAAAGGTCTTCATAGAATCTTTTCATTGAGAATTTATTCTTACTCTTATTTCTCTGGGAAAGACTTACCAAAGAACAGAGGGAAATCATTTTGTTATCAGATAACTGTTGCGTTACATAGCCATTCCTTCTGAAATTATTATTATCAGAACTTGGAGGATTGCTACAATTAAATTCACGAAATTCACTTTCATGCAAAGTTAATGCTCCAGGCAGTAAAGGAGGGTGATGAAAGAAAAATTTTAGTGGAGTGCCTATCTAGAGTTGCTCATGATCAAAGATCCAACACTACACATATTTATCCAGGCATAGTGACCTTATTTTCTGTCCCCGTGGGTTATGAATCTTCTGGTTCTCACTGGTCTTTTGCAAGAAGCTTTCCATTTGCATATTCTATGCAAGACTTCTCTGTACTCCCTCTGTAAGTTTGCTCATTGCTTTTTCCCAATGATTTAATATTTAAGTCAAAAATATTTCATTTTCTTTCTCAAAATGAAAGAATTTTTGAAGAGTAATCAGAAACAATGGGAAAAAAGATGCAGACATGTCTCTTGCATGACTATTTGATACAGTTATGTATCCTAACCAAATTCATGCAATACTTATATGAAATGTGATACTCTGCATTTAAGGAGAGAGAAAGGGACAGAGTGAAGAGAGACTGAAGAGGAGGAGGAAGTATAAGAGAAGAGGGAGTAGGAAAAGCAGTCTGGTGCTTCACAACCTAACATAATCTAAGCATGTTTTCCAAACAGAAATCATTAGGGAATGATGAGGAATAAGTTGCATCTCTACAGTTTCTATTTTATATATGTGCCATATGTAAGTTTTTCATTTTAATATTTTCCAACATTAATATTTTTTAAAAAATTTTGGACACCTTTATTAATTTTATTTATTTTTTAATGTGGTGCTGAGGATTGAACCCACTGCCTCACATGTGCTAGGTAAGCACTCTACCACTGAGCCACAACCCAAGCCCCCTCCATCATTAATTTTTTATTCATCCAACTTAGGTACTTTGCAGTTTGGAGGTCATTAAAACAGAAACAGTAGGAAACAGATCTTCACAACTGTCCTAGCTTTTTTATTCAGCCCCTTTTTGGTATTCCAAGGAATATCAGAAATTCAAAAATTATGTTACCACTATTTCTACTTGAAACTCCCATTGTCCTTGAAACACTATGTTAATCCAAATTTATTAAGCTTGGCAGGTAGATGCTGTGCAGATGGAGCATGTAGGAATGTGGGAGCATATTAGATCTGCTTGGAGAGGAGGAAGCAAAGCCCCTACCCCACACATCCCTGAAGGCATTCCTCACTCCTGTCACAACAATACCAGGAATGCATTATCATTTATACCTTTGGATTTAAATACTGAGGACAGCAAATGTTATGGAGCCATGCACTAGATGAATATCAATCATTTACACTCAAGTTCACATTTCACTTTCCTACCAGAAACAGTGCCTTGAGAGGATGGCATGTCACTAAGTAATTTAAATGATGGGGAGGTGAGGAATATAAGATGAAATTATCAAGGGTTTTGGGGTAGCTGAAAGGAGGAAATAAGTGAGTTGAATTGCTTCCAAAGGGGAAAAATACTTAATTCCCAATATTGTTGAGGATTGGTTCAATTTCAATGATCCACTGGTGGATTTTTTCAACTATCCTAGCCTTTAGCAGTAGTAGAGTGTGACCATAAACATTCTAGAACCTAAATATTCCATCAGTAAATATAGATTGGGATGCCTTTGTTTTGGGTTGCTCAGGACAGTCAGAACCAAATACTGTGAGGCTAAACTGAAACAGCACTCAGTCAGCCTAAATAAGGTATAAGAAAGAAAATCACAAGCTAGTTTTATGTATTCAAATTCAGCAATTATGACAAAAGCATTTAGTAATCACTGAAAAGGCTACCATTAATAGTTTGGCATGTAGTGTGACACCTGTGTGTTCAGTAAACCTGAATAGTACAAGTGGCAGTATCATCTTCTTCCAGAGAATCAAGTTTGTACAGTATGTTTCCCTAGCCTTTAACAAATATCAAACATTTTTACTCACGTGGAGCACCTTCAGCCATTTCAATAGCAGTGATTCCAACAGACCATACATCACTCTGCAAAAGAAAAGATGACAAAAAATATGTAACATAAAATGGGAAATTGGGGGGCTAGAATTGAAGCTCACTTGGTTAGCACATGTGAAACACTGCATTTGATCTTCAGCACTGCATAAAACAAATTAATACAATAAAGGTACTATATATATATATATATATATATATATATATATATATATATAATTTATATATATTTATATATGGAAAACTGGTAGTATTAAGAATCTTAATCTTTGGCTGATGGTGGATGTTGTCAACACCAGAGCCATTTCATAGTTTTTATATAATGAAGCTTCATTATAAATTAATATCATAGGAAGACATTATCTGAGCTTGATCTCCAGTTAGACCCTCAACACAACAGGCTGATATGATGGAATGAGGTTCAGTGGAGGAAAAGTTCTTCTTGGGTGTACTGCTTGTGTTGCCTTACCTGAAATATCAAAAGGAACTCACTGTAAAGAAGATCTAATACACAGATCCACAAGCTGTGTGATCTATAGCAAATGATTTAAATCTCTGAACCTCAATTTCATTGTATATAAAATGGTGATTATAATAGGACCCATTTCATAAGATTTGTGTATGTGTGTGTATACATATGTATACACACACATTTAACATATATAAATACACTTTATGTTAAACATAATTATAATTAACAGCTTCTATATTAAATATATAATACAAAATATTACATATTATAATATAAATATGTGTACTAGTTTATAAATTACATAGTGTATATAAATTATTAATATATTTATATGTGTAAATATACATTTCAGCTGTTCCTGGAATACAGTAAACTTAAGCTGTAATTATCATGAGACCCATAGAAATTGTTCTGACCACTACTAACTGTACTTTGTTTTTCAGAGTATGGAAAGGTCACAGGGCTACAGTACACTAGCTGAATGACTCCTAAATGAGGTCAATGAAGTTTTGGAATCCTTGTTTATGGTTCTTTTTTTCAGCTTTTTTGTTGGTTCTTTTTAGTTATACATGACATTAGAATTAATTTTGATATAATTATACAACCATGGAATATATCATATTCTAGTTAGGACCCCTTTCTTAGGGATGTACATGATGGTGGGATTCACTGTGATGTTTTCATACATGTATATGGGAAAACTGAATCTGACATGATTTCCCCATGGTTTATAGTTCTTCACACTTCATTTGTGATATTCTAAGATGAAGTATTAATTTGACTAAATAGGGCAAAAATATAAAAATAAATAGTTAATGCAGGTAAAAATTCTAGGAAGGTTATCAAAATACACAGGTATAAAGCTCTATTTTTATAGCAAGTCACTTGAAGAACTAATGCTTCTGTAGTCTCCACAGATCCTAATATAGCACTGAATATGTTATGAGTGCTCAGTAAATAATTACTTTGCAGATCAAGCAGAGGGCATTCAAGGAAATGGAAAAGGGATGAAACTTAGATTAATCAACTTCAAGTTTTGAGCCCTAGGTTCCACACAGGGAGACCACAATGAATTGTTTGGATGACTTATGATGTGGAGAGTGAGTGAGGTTTTTCCAGTCTATAGCAACTGGAGAGTTTTCCTTCTTTCCACATCAGCCTTTTGAAATGTGTACATAGATGTATATTGTCCAAATTGCAATTTCAGTGGAAATTTTAATAAATAGCACAAATTGTTACTTAATTTGACTATTCCACTGATTCTCTGTGGTTTTAGAAGTGAACAACATGCCAAAGATTTTCTCTGTTACCCTGAGTAATCAAATTATCTGTTTTTTTTTTCTTTTTGGAGCTAAGTTATTGTGCAGATTAATAATTGGCTTTACATTTATTCATTTATAAGTTTAAAATATCCTCTGTCCCTGGATGTTAAAGTTCCATATAAAGCCACATAATATAATATTTTTTAACCAAGTAGTTGCAAGCAACATGAACTAGATTCCCCCTCAAATTTGAATAACTCCCAATTGTCTACTTTTTCTACATTCATAGAAAATATTATTTTCACATATACTATCAAACCACATAGAGAAATAGAGGCTAGATTTTCCTCTTAAAGTTAATATGAAGGGAGGAGCTGCCTGCTTTTTCCTATAATATTTTATCATTAAATGTTCATCAAAAATCCTTTCCAAATTTTGATTCCCAATATCTGAATCCTTATACTCACTCTGTAATCATAGGAGCGTCTTGGGTCCTCATCACAGTTAATCACTTCAGGTGCCATCCAGTATGGTGTCCCAATGAAGCTATTTCTTCGTCCATTAGTTCTGCTCACCTGGGCACTCACTCCAAAATCCACTGCAAAATTCAGCATATGTCAAAATAATTAATCAGGAACAAAAAACTCAATAAGTTATTGCTTTAACTTGGAAAGCCAATACAAAAGCCACAATGGGTAACAGATTTTCATTCCAGCTCTGAAAACTTTACCATGAATTCTACTCCAGGAATACTGGGAAATAAGCTTTTGCTGCTATTTATGTTGGAATGAGACTCAATAGTGCTATTATAAATCTACAGTAGGTTTGGCTGTATGTTTACCATGAATATTAAAAATAAAGTTCCACTGGTACACTCTGAACCTCTGAAGTGATAACATATGTAGTATTTGGACCTGCCACCAAGCTAGAGGAAGAATAACAGTATAAGCATCATCTAAGAAATGTTAAACATATTAGTAGTTGCTTAGGAAGCTCTCACTCATAACATTAGGAAGTCCTAATGTCAATGATAAAGAAAATTGAGTTTTTTTCTGGAATTTAGTTTAAATGCTTACACAAATTTTCTGAATCAGATGCAAATATTTACTGTGGTACATATATCTTAACTTAGGCCATGAAAGTTTAGTCTCCTATTCATCTGTGGGATACATTAGAAGAAAATATTTAGTATGGTATCCTCAGAAACAGACAGAAAATAGGCTGAAGTAGACCAGGGTTATTTATTCCAGAAAAAATAAGACAGGGATGAAAAATGAAGTAGATTTTCTAATTTAGAATGGTTTCCAGGAATCTAGATGATGGTGAACAAAACTGACTGAAAAACAGCTTGAAGAATTTAGAGAAAGAAAAGAAAAAGGAAAAGAAAAACCCTGATAGTTCAAGACAGATTAAGAAAGGTCTAACAAAAACACGAACACACACGTTCATATTGTGAAGACCACCATTGGGTGCTGCAAAATCTCATTATCTATAATTTTTAAAGAACTAGTTTAACTTGGAGCTTAGCATTTCCACTATCCTTAATGGCCAACTTTAATGGCAAAGAAATAACCTGTGATAGCCATAAGCTGATATATATGGTGTACATTCCAGGGGAGAAAATCAAAAGAGAAAAGATTAGAAGAAAGAGTGATGAATAGAAGAAAAGGGGAAAATAGAATGAGAAAGTTAAAATTAAGATGAAGGGTATAGTAGAAACCTCAACAATGTCATAGTTTAACCTTTTCCTTAATAACATTAAGGCTTGAAATGTGAAGATTATTGATCAATTGCAACCACAATATACTTATTTTTGTGTCTCTTTCATTTCCATCACTTCCTTTGCCTATCATTAGGTTTGCCTTCTGGAAACTTCTCATAAGATGTTGTTTTAAAAAATATGTGAGGATCTGAGAAATCTAAAACAAGTTATGAGAGAATTATGTGTGTAATAAGCCTGATTAAATTTGAATCCAGCACTCCACCAGAGTGAACCAATATTTTAGTGATTTTTTTTTCACTTAACAATTTCTCTTCTGTGTTGTAAATGGTTGGATTGGCAAGCAACTTGACCCAAGCTTAGGGAAGTGTTGCTGTACTCATGAACATAATACTTAGCCTTATGGTGGTATATACATCCTGCACGATTGAACTTGAAATCTATAATGCCTCTTATGTGCTTTAATGCAGTTTCTTAAAATTGTGCTTCTAGCTTTGTAACTTTTAAGTAGAAAAAGAATGATACATTTTCTGGAAACTACTTTCACTTATTTCAAGAACAATTATTACTTCATACTTTTCCACAAAATCCATTTAAAAACTGTTTTCAATGAATTACCAAAGTCTCTATGCAGATTCTATTTGTTTAGCAAGAAAATGGAAAATATGTTAAGGTCATATTAAGACACATGATAAAAAATAATTGATATAATTAAAAAACACAATACTTATGTTTTATATCAATGAATTAATGGGGTTATCTGCCATTATGTAGTACTGACTTAGTTTATGTGGTATTATTGAAAAACCAACCATCAGTGTTTTTTAAATATTAAAAGGTATAATATATTGTTGTTCCCTATTACCTGTGAGACTATATATATATATATATTTTTTTTTTTCAAATGAATTATGTCATTCTAATTCCTAAAATAATAAGCTAGGGACTTTCTGTCCTTTGATTTCTAATTCTGAATTTGATTTGGATATTATTAGAGCTTCACTTCCAAATGACATATTTTCTTTAAATAATTGAGGGAAAATGCAAAGAAACAACTCATGCTTAAGTAATTTAAAAATTCTTTGGTATTCTTGAGAAAACATGGCTCTGTGATGTGTAATTTTTGAAATTCCTGCCAATGACACAGAAATTCACACATGGTAAATCCTCCATTTAATTGTTGAAATGAATATAATAGGTATCTCTAATAGATGGTAAAACATTGACCAAAAAGTAATCCCCATTATAATTTAGGATATTTTAATCAACATTAGTTCAAAGAAGTGGTTGGTAACATCCTTTTTCTTTTCCCCCACCTTTCCTTCCAAACAAAATTTTAAAATTTGATTGATTTTTCTAAGCAGGGGAATCTCAGCTCAACTAAGTAGAGGATATTGTTAGTGATAAAGAGCACCGTTAACCTAAAGGAATTTTCTTCATAAAATGTTTTGACCCTCACCTTAAATATTGCAAGAAGAAACTTACCCAGTTTTACTTCAGCATTATGAGTCAGTAGCACATTCTGACCTTTGATGTCCCGGTGAATTACTCGGTGTGCATGAAGGTGAGCCAAGCCCTGTATGCACATGTGTTAAAAAGAAAGTCACATTAGTATATATTTTACTCTTTTCTGGTACTATTATTAGTATTTTGGAGAAAACTTTTGGTAAGAAAAATGGCCCAGAGTTGATGTGTCAGGCAAAATTCTTTCTTTATGCTGGAATTAATACAACCAATTCCCAGAAATTCTACTTTTGGCTATAAGGAAAGGAAAATAAATCAGGACACCCATGAAAGAAAAAGTACACCAAGAAGTAATGTTTGTATACATTGGGTCACTTTACCTTCCTTTCTAACCTCCATATTTCCAACTAACCATAACAGTAAAGACCTGGACATACTAACTTTATCAGAGCTCAGCCATAGTTTTGCTCTATTCCTCATCCAACCATTTGTTTAGTCCAAAATATTTTCAAGTCAGCCTTGTAGGCTGAGAATTTGAGGTAATATGGAAATTCATTTTAAAGCATTTGCAATTTGTGTTGGCTTACCGTGCTGGCTTCAACCCACTCACCACTAAAACTAACCCGTGACCTGGCTAAACCATGATATGGTATGCAGTATTAGGCTGCAGTGAGACTGCTTCAGACACTAACTGGGAGGTAATAATAGAAGTAAAAATAAAAACAGTGAAAAATTATTGAGCCCTTATTCTTTGCCAGACATTTTGCAAAGTACTTTAAATGGAGTAAATTGTTAAATCCTTAAAGCAACCATTTGAGGATGGTGCCAATATCACCCTATACTACACACAAGGAAAGAGACTTGGAGAAATTATGTAATTGACTTAAGATCACATGGCTAACGTAGGTGAGATGGAATTACAACTCAGTCAAGAGTTTGCACTCATAACCATTTACACTAACATCACAAGTGAATCCAACCAAAATCCCAGAAAGTATATTCAAACAATGTAGAGTGGTACTGTTCGGTTCCAGTCACATCTTCTTCTCTGACCCTAAACACTTAAGTCACACACTAAAAAATGAGACTGGTAGACCAAGAATATTGTTGCCTTTATCCAACTGTGTATTAGAAATAAAGAAAAGAAATGTGGGGCAGTATTCAAAAATGATATCTGTCTGGAAAAAGATGGGTGCAGATTTTCTGTAGATCAGTGACTTCTGACTCACCTTCATCTTAATCTATGACGATAGTGCTATGGCTTTTTAGAAATAGCTCTAAAATCAACATAATATATAATCCCAGTGGTCATTTCCCTGATAGTTTAACACAGTAGTATGAATCTGAAAAAACTATTAAAGGCCATGATTTGCAAAGAATTGTTAACCCATTTTGTGATGTACCTTAAAGTTGAGGGACATTATCTCAACGTTTGCTTTCTCCAAAGTTTTCTGGTCTTCTTAGGTTCCCTGATCCATAAGTTAAGTTAAACAGTCTTAAACAATCAGATAGGAGGTATAAGGTACATCTGCATATTTTTCTCAAGTTCTTTCAAGATCAAGAAAAATGATTATATGAAGGCATACCTGAAGGATTTCTCTGCAGATATAAGCAATCCAATCTTCTTTTAAACTCTGATTTTTTGTCATCCTCACTACATCAGTGACTGAGCCTGCTGCACATAACTCCATCACCATCTGTGGGGAAGTTAAGAAAGTATAAAGAATTAAAAAGTAATTCTGTGAAAATATCCCAAGAATTCCCAGTACATATAGCTTGTATCTGTATGTAATGTTTAGAGATTAAGGCACTGCAAACCTGGCTCAATTGTCAGGTGGAAAACTCCAAAGACTAGTGGAATTAGAAAGAATTTGTGGAGGGAGAGAAACTAGTTATCATTTCAGAGATATTTAACCAGGAGGAGGGATTTAAAATAATCCTTGAATCATAGGTAATGTTTGGAAATGCTTAGAAAAAGAACATTAGGTTTATGGAAAACAGAATGAATAATGGCCTTGGAAATAAGCTTGTGAATGGGACAAACCTAGGTGAACCTTAAGTGGAAAGGATAATAGAGATAACAGTTTGGTTTGAAGTGAAGTAAGATGTGGAGGGTCAAAAGAATTTACATTTCCATATCAAGACTAAGTTTAGTTGTCATTGTTTTATTTATGTTTTCAAATTCCAGTTTATTTTCTCCAAGATACAGGCAGCTATAACTTAAAGGGGAAATTTTTCTATTGAATTCCTGTAGGATAATTTCTTCCAAATGCGATTCCTGCCAAGGAAATAAGACTAACATCTTTGAAAATATTAATTCTGATTTTTTCTATTAATACACACAATTTCTCAGGAAATCCCTAAAGATCTTTCTAATATTATGTGAGAAGATCTCAATTATTAGAGGAATGTGAGATATTCACAATCATTTTCCAGCCTTGCAAGCACAGTGCTTGGCTCATATACTTTATAAATGGCAATTATCTATTTACTTATTTTCTGATTTACATGGGTTTTAAAGTGTTAGTGATCCCATAAAAACTCTTACTTCCACAAATAATTTATGCATTAAATGCTTTCTCATCTTTCAGATAGCAGTTCAAGCTTTTATTTCCTCAAGGAAAAGTTCCTCTTTCCTCAGCTTAATTTAAGTTCCTTTGTTTTCCACCCAAATGTAATCATGTTATATTCCTTCTAAGTAGACATTTTTGTGAATGTATGATTGACATTGGTCTTTGCAAGTAGACTGCAAGCTACAGTTGTCCAGGGTCATGTCTATTCAGCTTACCATTGTATCCCCAGCATCTAGTAGAATGTCTGGCAAATAGGTGATTTTTCAATGAATGTATATTGAATGACTGAATGAACTGAGTACTAGTAATGCATATCCAATAAGGAGACTACAACATTTCTCATAGTTTGCCATATTGTCAAGAGGAAAAATTTTATACAGAAAAATATATGAAAGGACAAATGGTATATGCAAAAAAGTAACCAGTAAGCTGTGACTAAAATTTACTAAAATGTCTATGAGAATTGTCAGCAAATACAAGATTTGAGTTAACTGGGCATTTGGAAGAAAATAGAGTTAAATTGAAGATCTCTAAATTTGGTGATTCTCAGAGTGTGGCGCTCAGCAGCAACATTAACATCATCTATAAACTTATTAGAAAGTACAAATTTTACACACATCCCTAACCTACAGAATCAGAAACCCTGTGAGTGTCCTCCAGCATTCTGTGTTTTTTGTGGCTGACCAGAAGATTCTGATGCATGCTAAGGTTTGAGAACCTCTGTTTCAATTCAACCCCCAGCTGAAAATTTATAGTATTCACTGTCCTACTCCTCAAGTTCATTATATAGAATACAATAGAATCATCCATTGACACTTGAAGATCCTGAAAAGTTTAAGTCACTATTTTCAAACAAACAAATGCAATTACTGACTAGGAGTGTAAATGAAAATGTAGAAAGTATAGAGCTCATGTATACAATGACTCCAATTATGTTTTAAATATTCCATTTTTAATAAAGACATCATTGAAAGCTCATTTTATTTATAATACAGTAGAAATAGGTATAAATAGAATACATATTCTGGTAGCTGTGGCCTAGTTAACATATGGTGTAATTAGCCTCTAGAATTTATATTTCATTAATCCAGAATTTGTGATACCCCAGCCATGGCTAAGAAGAGGAGAAGTCATCTAACCCTTAGAAAAGAATTTCTAGGAAGTAATTTACTCAAGTATACATATATTTTGCAAACATTTAAAATGCACTCTTCATGCTCTTGTTGACTGCTAGTGAGAAATGATCCTTATCCATTAACTATATTATAATTCATTAGGAAGCTTCAACAGCACAATGGAAATTATTTAAAGTTAAAAGCAGTCAAGCTGCATTTCAAAATATTTGTTAGATATTTCCAGTGTTCATTCAAGTCCTCCCTCACCCTTCTGAATTAGCTATTGCCAGTCACAGAAGTTATTTTCCCATACTTTATCATGCCCATCTCCATTCATCAGAGTATATTTTGCCATACTACCTTGAGTAGTTGACTGCTTAGCTTTTCCAAGTAGGTGCTCAGAAGTAACATTTTAGCTTATGAAAATGTATATCCTTGAGTAAAACTTTTCTTATTGAATAAGATCAGGGTAATTAAAAACATACCCAAAGTTGGTGCCTGTGGCCAGGAGGACTCAGTTTGAAAAATGCACCATAGAAAGACACAATGTTTTTGTGGAAAGAGTACTTCCTCAGAAGGTTGAGTTCAGTCCTGAGATCCTCTTCCTCATCCTATAGAATAAAAAGAGTCAACTAAGCTTCAAAGCTATGCAATCCAATAACTATTGATCTCTATAGGAGATTCACAATCGAAAATCCTATGCAACCAATTTATCCTACATAATAAAATCTCAGCTAGAATTATCAGTGAATGGAGATATCTGGTTAACTTGAAATTTGAGAGAAAAAGGGTAAGTCCATGATCTCTTATCAATTCAGCAGTTCTCAGTGTTCCATGGCCCATCAGCACTGACCATTATATAAAGTTTTCATTGAATGGAATGATACATTTTAGTTTCTTTTTAAATAGTTTTATTGAGATACAATTCATGCGCCCTACTGTTTACTCATTTAAAGTATAAAATTCTGTGATTTTTAGTATATTTACAGAGTTGTACAATCATCACACTCAATTTTAGAACATTTTTATCACACTGAAATTACATACATTTTAGGTATCACCCCCAAATTCTACCCAACACATACCTTAGTTCTAATCAACCACCAATCTACTTTCTGTTTATATACTGGATATTTCATATAAATGAAACCATATAATATGTGGTCTTTTATGACTAGGCTTTTTATAAAGTTTGTCCATGTTGTACCAGGTATTAGTATTCCATTCCTATGGGTTTATCATTCATTAATTGTTAGACATTTGGGTTAAATTTATACCTTTTTGGCATTGTGATTAATGCTTCTATGAGATTTATGTCAAGTTTTTGTGTCAATAGATGTTTTCATTTCTCTTGGGTATATATCTAGGGAGTGAAATTCCTCAATCAAATGATAACTTTGTGGAATATTTGAAGAAATTCCAAACTATTTTCCATAGTGGCCGTACCATTTTAAATTCCCAACAGCAACATATAAAGGGGGTTCCAATTTCTCCATACCTTTACCAACACTTGTTATTTTCTCTTTTTTTATTATAACCACTCTAGTGGGTGGACCATGGTATGTCATTGTGGTTTTGATATATTATAACCTGATGGCTAATGATATTGAAAATATTTTTTTTTAATTTTAATATTTATTTTTTAGTTTTTGGCAGACACAACATCTTTGTTTGTATGTGGTGCTGAGGATCGAACCTGGGCCGCACACATGCCATGGAAGCGCACTACCGCTTGAGCCACATCCCCAGCCCTTGAAAATATTTTCATGTGCTTATTATCCATTGTATATGTTCTTTGAGAAATGTCTATAAAAATTCTTTGCCTTTTTTAAAAGTTGGGTTTTCTTTTCAACATTAAATTTTTAAGGGCTCTTCATATATTGTAGACACAAGTACTTTATCAAATATACAATTTGCAAATATTTCTCCCATTCTCTGAGTTTCCTTAAACTTTCTTGATACTGTACATTGAGCCACAAAAATTAATTTTTATGAATTCCAAATTGATGGTTTCTTATTTTGTTGCTTGTACTTTTGGTGTCATATCTAAAGATCTATTGCCAAACCAAAGGTCACAAAGATTTACTCTTGTGTTCTCTTCTAAGCATTTTACTACTTTAGCTCTCACATTTAGGTATCTAATCTACTTTGAGTAATTTTTTTTTATAAAGTAGGGCCCATCTTAATTCTTTTGTATGTGGATATCTAGTATCACACTGTATTTATTAGTCTGTAATTTATTACATTTTAGAGGCACTGTTTTTTTCTCTACCAATCTTTTAAAAATGTTTAAAATACTTTATTTTCCTAATCACAGTGGTGGTACATGTATACAGAGCAAGATGTACAAGTGGTCTATTCTCACTAAATCTTTCCCCCACTCATTTTAGCAGTTTATAGTATAAATTCTTTCAGAGAGTTGTATATGCTGATACAATAGAGGAATGACTGGATAAAGATATGATGAAAAGATACATGTTTATATTTATATATTATACATGATATTTATTTTAAATCTAAACAAGTTAATATTATTCTATTTTTTCAATTCAAACATTTTATGAATATGTAAAACACATTTATCTATATCAATAAGCAAATTCTGTTTCTTTTTATGGCTGCATAAGACTGCATAGAACAGACATATAGGTCTAATGCTCAGTTGCTGGGATCAGGCTTACAGGTATTGCCTTTAAGAATGATCTGTATAGCGATAATTGAAGCCTTCTGACTGGATGAGATCACTCAAGTAGAACACATACTTTCACAAGACAGCTATAGCATAAGACAGTATGGCATCAGTCAGAAAAGAGCACCTACCATGGGCATTAGGACTCTTAGGATTTAGCACTGATTTGAGAGTAGGAAATTCTCACTTAAATCTCTCCAAGGTTCATTTTACTTTTTTCTAAAAGGAAGATGGTGACCATTTCCTATTTCCATGGAATGACAAGTTAGTGGGGCCAAATGGGATAAAATATGTGAAATTCTTTGATATATTCAGAATAAAAATGAATAAATACAAGCTATTATTACAAAATATCTTGTATTACTTGACCTCTTGTTTGAATTAGAGTTCTATCAGAACTGAGAAATTCTGTCTACTTTTTTCCTTAATCTACAAACATTAGCACTCTCCATTCCCAGTACATTTGTTATAGTGAAATAAAATAAGAAGCAATTGTCTCTCCCTAAGTTCATCTATGTATGCATGTACCATGTCAACCAAGTAGTTTGATAATTCTTCTGTAACCCTTATTTCTTGCCAATCTAGGAAAAAAAATCCTCACTTTTAATAAATTGAAAATTACTATACTTTCATATATATAGGTGAGATGCATGCAGAAAATGAAAATTTTATATTACAAAAAAGTTATCTTAGATTGCTAGAAATTTATAATGAACATATTGTTGATTTGTGCGTTTAAGTAGTATGGTTCTAACTTAAGCAATCACAGGGAGTAAGATTCATATGTAGGAATGAAATTGACAATGATTAATACAAGACAGTGAACAACAAATTGGAAGACGATGTTAGATGACTCAGGAAGGAATTCTGCACTTGACAAATAGATTCACCACTGGGCTCCTTTGAATGCCTACTATCTCTAGATTATATTTGATTGAAAATAAAATGACTCTTCCATTGCATCTAGAAATGTTTCATTTATATAAACATTTTAGAAATATTTTTGTTGTCAAAAATGAAATATTTTGTAGATTATAAAGTAAAAAATAGAGATTCTAAATAAAAATACAAAGATTTCCTTTTCTGAATTTCAGTGAAAAAAAAAGATATTTTTGGCTTCTGGGGGACAATGAACCAAGACAGGGACAACTGATGTAAAAAACAATTAAGGGGTTAACTGACAATTATTTTTACTTCTTCCTAGCATTTTTATCAACTACCCTGACTTAATGACTTGAGGAAAGAAGTCTCTTAGCTGAATTGAATAGGTAACTGAATGTATCTATTCAGTAATCAGTTTTCTTCTTAGCTTATTATCTAAAACCCAGCAGGAAAATGGGCAATTACTTTTAATGTTTAGTTTTAAATATACTCGTGAAATAAATATAAGGAAATGCACTAGGCTTCATAGTGTCACCAAGTTGAATCAATTTTTTTGCTTGTAAATTAGCTTTTCTCCTCCTAAATGTCTATAGTTTTCTGTATCATTTAAAAATCTGAGAGAAATAGCTGGAAGCTGCAGAGCATTATTTGGCATTTTCCTAGGATTTTTCAGTGAATTTATCCATAAACATTCAACTTTTAGAAAATAAATTTAGGTACCTATTTGTCTTATTGGGGAAGGGGATGGAGCCTCATTTGTAAAGTTGGAACCCCAGTGAAAGGTGAAAGGTTCTTTCTATTTATTGCAAAATGAAGGCATAAATGAATAAAACTACCCATTTATAGCATGAGGAATTACATAGAAGTACAGGCTTGAGTCTCATCCTAACCTTGCAAACGAATTAATAAATCCCCTTCAAATTCCTTTAATCTGTTTTCTACAAAGGTAAAAGTTAATCCTGTGGCTTTCATTTCTGTCATTTCTGGAAGGCTCTTAGACTTCCATGAATCTCTGTGATGTAGCCCTCCTTTGAAATGGTAACAATATCTGGTCCCATATAGAAATAACCCAAAGAGACTAGCCATTTTGTATGTACTCTCAGCTTATAATATTAAGATTCTACCAAGAGGAATATGAACTCATAATACTATAATAAATAGGAATGAGATGCTGGAGTGAAGCTAGGAATACAAATAACAACTTAAAAAGAAGCAGAGGCAAGACGGAGTCTTGTTTGGTTTTTTAATGTCAAGGAGATTGCTTTTCTTTCTTTGTTACAAAGCTAACATCACCTAGCAAGAATAGGAGAATAGCTGAACTCTTAGCAGGGAAGGAGTTTTTGTGGAGTTACTTTACCTATTAGAAACCTGAGGTCTAGAGACATAAAAAGACCACTCTTCCAAGTACTTTTTGTCTCATTGGTGGTAGACTTTGGGTTTGAACTTTTTTCTAAATTTCCACATTATTGCTATTTCCATGAACCCCTGACATCTACAAGATGTGTGAGCAAGTCACATACTTTCTGACCCAAAGGAATAAAGGTGTTTTGAAGATGCTAAATGGCTGATTAGCTAGCAGTGAATTTTCTTACTAAATAATCAGAAAATCAAAGTCCTTGACTAGGAGAAAAAAGAAAAAAAATACCAAGAGTAGGTTTAAATGTAAACTCCCCCAAAACAAATAAATGTAGATCAGATATGTTTGGAAAGCATTAGTGTATTTGCCACTCTCAATTAACAGGAAGTTGAGCTTGTGAGAAACACATAAGTACATTATATCCATCAGGCCAAGTGGGTAATTTGAAACTCTTACACATCGCCTGTAATATGATGCTACAGCATTTCCTGGCTGAGGGCCAGTTGATCTGAGGCTGACCTGAATACCCTGCTTTTTGTCAAGAAGAGTCAGTTAAAATATGCCAGAACTTCCTTTGTAATTTCACCAAATTCTAGAATCAAAATCCGTTTTACTATGGAAAAATACCAGAAAAGTTTGGGGGTAAGATCTTTAAAGAATTTTATTAACGTAAGTGTTTGATGAAATCAGAATCTGTCAAACAATTATATTTTTCATACCATATGTTTTGTGACCTCTGATCTGCTAAAGACTGTTATAACTGTTTCCTTTGGATATGCCTTATCTCTCAAGATAAATTATATAAATAAAGGGGGACCAGTACTTAAAAGATAAATCATGAATCTGTTTAGCAATACTTTTCTAATATAATAGAAAGATCCCAAATATGATGGTCTTGATAGAAAATGTTATTTTTAATGTGCTGGTAGTATATTTATTAAGGCACAAAAGGCTGGAAATATCTAAATCTCTTATGTTGAATGGGGGAGAAATGTCAGAAAATAGCAATGAATTTTATTGATAAGAGTGGGAATTCTGCTTTTAGGTCCATATAATACCAACATCTATTGAAAAGATAATTTTATTTGCCTGAGCTTATTTTTGAGCCAGTTAGGATGAGAGATATCTCAAAAAGTTACAAGTAAAATACATCTTCACAATCCTCCATGTGTTCAAGGGCAGCTGCCAGATGTTTGAAGGCTTTTAGTCAGGGTAACCTGTCGGTGTTCTGTCTGCTATTGCTCTTAAAATAAAAATGGGAAGCTGAGCTGGGGTTATGGCTCAGTAGCAGAGCACTTGCCTAGCACGTGTGAGGCACTGGGTTCAATCCTCTGCACCACATAAAAATAAATAAATAAAATAAAGGTATTGTGTCTATCTACAAATAAAAATATTTTTTAAAAAGGGGAAAACCATCATTTGGCTCATATATAATGTCAATGTTTGTTAGAGTCATATGGAAGAGAAGCTATTTAGTCTAGACCACATGCACAAGGTGTGCAAAAGACATTTCCAAGGCCAGTTTTAGGCAAAATTTGCTCTTGGTCCCATCAATACCTCTTTTGTTACCACCCAGTGGGAAGCCTCCATATTCTGTAGATGTACTTAACATCCTTCCTCGGCAGCCAACACTTTCCTGTTCAGATGACCATTTCTTCTAGGCCCCGCTCTTTGACAAATGCTAGTGTTCAAATATGATGACTGAATCTATGTGAACATGTTACAAGATATAAATATATTATCACTTCTAGGCAAGAAAACTTCAGGGGCAGCCTTATAGAAATAATGACAATTCAAATAGATGAGTTTAAAGTTGAAAATTAAAGGAAGGACTGCTGGGCTAATGAGCACTTTTAATACTCACGCTGTATCTCCATCCAACAGACTTTTGATATTTATTCACTCTCACCTTCCTTCCTATTTCAGGTAAAGGAGTCTGCAAAACCAAGAACGAAATGTTATTAAACCTACTGGTCCATTCTGAAAATGATTTATGCTTAAGTATTTTGTACTCCTTTAGGACTAAATTAAATAGTAAGATAATATTATTCCTCTCGAGTCTCACTAATAGTTCTTTCTTATTATATATAGAAACTTGGCACAACATTCATGGTAATAGATGTAACTGCCATATTAATGGGAAAATTATAGTTAAATAATAGTAAAGTACTATTTTCCATTTATAAACACAGGTAATTAACACCAATCATCTATCGGCTAAACACGATTTTTAAATATTTCAAAAATCCGAGTATCTGAAACATAGATTAGAAGTGGGTCCAGGTGTCTCAAGCCAAAACAAGAAAATAAATATTTTCTAGATTCTCATTCAAAAAAGACCGAGGTTGATAATTTAGAAGCCATGATTTGCAGAGCAAAATGAATCCACAAAACCTCAAAATCCATTGAAACTCAAATTGGTTTCCAACGTTTCATATTTTTCCAACGAAAAGCACACAAGTCTCTAAATAGTTGCAGCCTCATTTCCTAAACAAATTGGAAAAAAAATCTATGATATTGACAACAGTTCTGTGAATCAGTATGTTTTTTCAACTCAGATTTTCTCTTTTTAAAAAATATTTGTTTTTTTAATTGTACTTGGATACAATACCTTTATTTTATTTATTTATTTTTATGTGGTGCTGAGGATTGAACCCAGAGCCTCGCACATGCTAGGCAAGTGCTCTACCAATGAGCCACAATCCCAGCCCATCAACACAAATGTGGAAATATAGTGAACCAATAAGTACAGTATACTAATGTGTATAAATAGTATTAAGTGACAAATATAATAGATCCAGATTAAGATAACAATAATTACATAAAACAACGATTTTAAAACAAAATATTTTCTGAGATGTTTATCCCAAGAACACTATCCATTAATGGAACAGAACACAGAGAGAGTATAATATTACCTTACGCGCATTCATCACTTTAACAGCTGTAAATGCACCAGTCTTTTCATGGAGTCCCTGAAACACAGGATAGTGACAAACGTCAAATGTTAACTATGTAGCTATCAAGAAGCAACCAAACTAAAAAAAAATACTATACAAATTACATAAAGTCAAAAACAGAGCATATAATGAAATATAAAATATGACATATAGATGAAATATAAAGTAAATATATAAAAAAGAAATATTAAGTTATCAACACTTTAAAGAAATCCCAACCATTTCACTCCAAATAATTAAGAAAGTTTATGGAGTAGTTTTGCTTTTTATATATTTGTACTAAGTGTGAACATTAATTGATCCTTTAAACATATTGCTTAGTTAATGTATTTAGTCTAGATTTGTATGACACCTAAGCATCTGGATGAAAAATACAAATTTTCATTAGAAGATGGTGGGAAAGGAGGTGGACATTTCTTTTTTATAATTATTTGTTCTAATTATGCATGACAGCAGAATGCATTTTGACTCATTGTACACAAAAGAAGCACAACTTTTCATTTCTCTGGTTATACACAATGCAGAGTCACATAATTTGTGCAATCATACATATAGACATTTCTTTACATACATAAATTTCTCAATAAGGATCACTAATAAAAACAACTTATAATTAATTTAAGAGCCTAAACTGTTTAATATGTCCTGAATTATATAAACCAAAAAGTTTATGAAAGAAACTAGTTCTAGAAGATTCTTTCTTATTGGAAACATGATGAGTTCTAAGAACTTATTCTTTTCCTGAATGAAGAGCAAGTTGTAAAATTACAAAGTTTTAAAAAATGAACATATTTGTTTAAATTTAAAGCTCTTATTTTGGGTTCTAACTTATAAACATATTTGAAGCTATGGTAATAAAAGAAATTTCAGTCCAGCTTTAGTATGAGTAACTTAAGTTTGGGATAAACTTAAAAAGAATGCCTGATTTTCTAGTTCTCTAGCAGAAAATTTGATTTTGGGGGTAGACTGTGTTGAACAGTGTCCACCCAAATTTCAAATTGATCTGGAACCCCAAATTGTGACCATATTTGAAAACAGATTCTTTGTAGATGTAATCAAATTAAGGTGAGGTCATACAAAAGTAGGGAACTAAAAGAACACTATCACCTGTCTTCATTGCAGCAGCTTATTTAGATAGAATGAGATTATTTTGTAGGGTTACAACAGCACTTAAATTGAATGGAGTTCATAAAAGTTACTGAATATGTTGAAGACTTCAGATTTATTTACATCTCTGGGAGAAATTATAAACGTACACACACATAGATGTATTCAAATAGCAATTATGATTTAGAAAGAATTTTTTCCTAACTATGCCTACAAATATTTCCTACTGAAAAATTTCCCATATCTGTATGCACAAATAAAACATGTTGGAAACTGGTTCTCATAGACCCCTTAAAAGAATGACAATGTCCCCTTCTTTGATTCTAAGAGGTTATTTATGGGCCAAACTACTATTCTGTGTAATACAGATTATTTAGCATATTAAGAAAGATATTAGTCCACACTTTATTTGATTTAAATGATAGTGAACTTTAAAAGTTTTAAAATCTGAAATGTATAGCCATTAAACTTGTGTTATACAGTAGTAGGATAACTGAATGTCATTAAAAGGTGCTATCCATAGCCATAGAACAAAAAGTGTCAGCTTGGTTCTACCCTCACTATATACAGTTGATTTTCATTTGAAAATTGTACAAAATTATTTTGTCTGACAATGTATCCCATTGTTGGGTTTCAAAATATACTGTTACTACAGAGGAATAAAACCCTAGATCTTGGAATGTAATTGTTTAAGACCAAACCATTATACAAGCTTCCATAGCTAAAGATAAATTGTTGCCATTAAAATAACATTTGAGAGAGTTCCCCTGTATTTTGACCTTTAAAAGTTATTTTGAAATATTTTTGAACAGACAATAGTTTCAAAGATAGCACCTCTACACTGTATATCTTCACCCAGATTTTTCTAAAGTTAACATGTTTCATGACCACGGTACAGTTGTCAAAACTGAGAAATTAATATGGGTACAATGCCCTTAATTAAATTTTAGGCTTGTTCTAATATTCCTGGTTTTTCTACTAATGTCCTTTTTTCAGGACCCAAACTGGGATCCCATATTCTAACTAACAACCATGTCTCCTTACTTCTCCAGTCTTTATTTTTCATGACTGACACTTTTCAAGAGTACTGGTCAAGTATTTTGCATAACGTTCCTTAGTTTGGGTTTGGCTGATGTTTTCCTGTGATTAGACTGAGGTTATGTGTTTTGGGAAAAAAATATCACAGAGATAAAATATCCTTTCTTCACATAACGTGAGGGGTGTGTGGCATTACTATGATCATGATATGATCAATGGTGATGCTAACTTTATCATTTAGCTAAGGTAATATTTGCCAGGTTTTTTTCCACTGCAAAATTACTATTTTCTCCTTTCAAACTCTGTTCTCTCGAAGTGATTGTCAATGGTTTTGAAGAGGTTTTGTATGTCTACATAGAGAACCTAGAAGTTATCTTGAGATAATTGTTCAGTAGTGCCATCTTGTGGTTCACTGATTATATGGAAGCTGTTTAGTGACCTCCTTAGCTGAATAACAGTACATCATAAATTTTCTAAGTGAGATGTTGAATTAGGCCATGCATATCTGGTTTTTAGGATGAGTATTTTTTTCAGTTATAATGTACAATCTATGGCAAATGAAGTTAAACCATTATTTGTTAGCATTATCTGTGTTTTAACAGTGTTTAAGAAAGGAGTTTGGTTTTGAATTCTACATTGAGTGTTAAATAATCACAATCGTCATTGGCTGTAGAGAATTTCACACAGGAAAATAACAAGAGCCCTAAATTATAAATGTGGATTTTGTTCTCTTTTTCTTACCAGCAATAATCAGCAATGCATAGGAATCAGGAGCTGTACTAGTAGCTGCTCCCTTAGATTGAATTTGAGTACACAAAATGGCCTTTATATATTTTTTTATATTGGAAAATAAAAAGTGTATACATTTCTGGTGCATTAACAAGATGACTTAATATATGCTTACCTTGTGGAATGGCTAAATCAAACTACCTAACATATGCATCATCTCACATGCTTATATTTATTTTAGTGGGGAAAATATAAGCCTTAAAATCTATTTTATTGAGTTTGAAGGTTCCCAACACAAAGAAATGATAAATGTTTAAGGATATGGAAACACTAAATACTCTCATTTTATCAGTACACACTGTATGCATTTATTGAATTATCACACTATACAATGCTATATCAATTTTTTTTTAAAAATCTCTTAAAAATTCTAAGTATACAATGTATTTGACTTTTAAAAAATTTTGTTCTAATTATTTATACATCTAATTATCCAATATAGTTTTATTAACCAAAGTCACCATGTTCTTTGATCATTTTCCCATCCTTACACTGTACTTTGCTTCTAGCAAGCACTTATTTTACTCTGTTTCTGTTAGTTTGCCTCTTTATAGATTACTTACATAGTTAAAACATTTGTTATTTTTTTCTGTGCCTGGCTCATTTCACTTAGCATAATATCCTCTAAGTTCATCCATGATATCACAAATGACAGAATTTCCTCTTATTAAATAATTCTTGAGAGTCAAAGAGCAAGAAGAAAATTCTTAGATCTCATTCTTATCATAAGAAATGGTTACGTAAATCATTTATGGAAGTCCATAGGCTGTGTACAGAAGATGATATGTAATAGAAATGCTTTATAGCTGTTATGGTTTGGATATAAAGTGTCCCCAAAAATCTCATGTGTTAGAATGCTCAAAAGTGATATGATTAGATTATAAGAACTGCAACCTGATCGGTGGATTAATCCATTTAATGATTTATATTTTGAAAGGACTACTGTACTGGGTGGTGGCACACGGGAAGCAAGGTGTGGCTGAAAGAATTAGATGACTGGGGGCAAGACTTTGAGGTTTATATTTTCTTCATGGTAAGTGCAGCTGTCTCTTTCTGCTTCCTGACTGCCATGAACTGAGCAACTTTCCTCTGCCATGCTCTTCTGACATGATGCTCTGCTTCATCTTTGGCCCAGAGCTATGGAGTCAACTGACCGTAGACTGAACCTCTGAAACTGGGAGCTCAACATAAACTTTTGTTTCTCAAAGTTGTTATAGTCAGGCATAGTGATCAAAGTGAATTAAAGCTGACTAAACAATATCCATTCCTGACTGTAGGCTTAAGACTATTGACACTGAGAATCAAGATGTATACCATCTTCATATTAGGCAACTCATTGTCTTATTATCCAATTCATTCAACATACTCAAGATTGGTTATTAATGTATCAAGCAAATATTAAATTATGGTTTGATAATCAACAGGAGAACAGCTACTTTAAAAATTTCTCACCACATGCCATAACCAGAAAAATGTATAAAATTCATTCAAGTTCTCTCCTCCATTTTGTTAAGGCAACAAAACTCCCTGATTATTCGGACATTAGCTGAAATAAAGACATATGATTATTTTCATTTATGTTTTAGTATGTGTTAAAGTAGTCAGATGAGGTAACTACAATCATGACAATGAACAGGTATGTATTGATGGAAAGGAAAGGCAGAGGAAGGAAAGGGCCAGAGCCTCAGAAATTCCAGGAGAGGCTGTTCTTCAGCTATAATGAAGGGAATAGATGTCTGGAATGGGAGGGAGGAAAAGTGAGTAAGGATGGATTTTTAAGTTTTGAGAGGAGGAAGATAGAGAGGTGGAAAGATAAACTGTTCCAAGTCACAAGTTTATTGGAGGAATTTACAGTTTTTACAATGGATAATCTGATAAAATTAGAGAATAGAATAAAAAATAAAAACTTGTTTTAACATAAATTCTTAGATTCCCTCATCCAGTCTGTGAAAAGGGTTAAAGGAATTAATATATGCTACCATGAGCAGAACATAAATAAGATCTTAAAACACTTTCCTGACAAATTTATGCTGTCACAGCTAACTCTGTTTCCTGGGGTTGCACAACAAAATACAGTAATTAGGAAGAACATGTATTCTTTTCACAGGGCTAGTTGAAATTACCCAGGAGAGAACATAAATCCCTCAATGTGTTGATTTCAATTTGGCAAGGATTTGTGTTATTAATGAATTAATTTAGATAATTAAATAAGCACCATTATTTAGTCTGCTTCCCCCCAAGAAAATATTTTATTACTGTGTTGATGCTCTGCAATGACTCCAAGATGAATATTAGTACTCTGAATATATCTTATGAACAGAAAATGTTACATGTCCCTGAATTTAAGATACAGCTCACATATTAAACATTGTTATGCCTCTTAACAATGTTTAATTTATAACCAATATCTTAAATTATAACACAGACACGAAATACAACACACACACACACAATTTGCTTTAGACAAATACAATTTGCTTTAAACAAATACAATGCAGGAAAACAATGATACACATAGCAAAAAAAAAATGAAAAAGAATGATCATTTTCTTGTTTATAAAATGATTTGTATTAGTATTGAGTAAATACCATACTACTTGAATTTATTTTGGGAAGCAGATTATACTATATTTTAGATTTCTTCCACTTTGTAAGAATATCTCAAAAATAATAAAGCAAGCTCAAATGATATACAGGGGATGCAGAATCAAATATAGTTAACTCAATAACTGAAGGGGGAATTTATAAATTCAGTGTTCTGATCACCTGAGAAAGCCTTGCTGACCTCTAACTGGCCAACCTGTCCACCATCTTCCCAAGCCCATACTTTTGGCACAAAACATCTCAATATTTCCACTTTCTTTTTATGGGACTCCTTTCTCCCTTTGGGCCTGTTAAGTTAGGTATGTTTCTTCTAGTTATTTGCTATGATTTCTGTTAACAAATGTAAGAGATAAACCTAGATGGAGGGAAGGCACAAGGGAGAACAGTGGTAGAACAGGAAGCAACTGATGGCCCTAGGTGGTACCTAGTCTTCTCAAATAATGATATTGACAAAGTTGTGAAAGGCATATGGGGAAATTTATTAAATACAGGATATTTTGATAGAAAAATACATTGAGGCAAGAAAGACTAGATATCAAACACATCATTATATTATTGGTTCACTTCATAAATAAAATCAGGTAAAACATAAAAGTTCTTGAAGTGTGACAATATATTGCTTTCATTTGGGTATCTCTAGTGCCTAGCATAGTGGTAGATAAGATCTTTTAATGAATACTAATTGAGTGAATGATGAATAGAATAACTAGAAAGCTCCATCAAAGAGGTACAATGTCAATTGGACCATGAAGATGGCATAGCATTTGAAGAGAATTGAAAGTAGACAGTGAGCCCAATGTTTGGGACATCATGAGCTGAATAGAAAGGCACAGTCACTGAAGACAAAAAAAAATAAAAACAGAAAATTGGGTAATGGCCATATAGAAAGGAGAGATGAAAATAAGGGGATACAAGAGTGCACCTGTTTTTGTCATGCCAGAAATTTCAGTATAAATTTTGTTTAAAGTAAAAACCTTATTTAAAAGAAACAGAAGTCATCATAGAGAAATAAGCCATTAGTAGTTTAGCAGTTTATGGCTGGCTTTTGCTAGTTAATAGTCTGATGCAAAGCTCAGAATTGTTAAGTTACTGAAAAACCAGCATTGAACTGCAGTAATGATCAATTTCTTGGGGATTACACATTTTAAACCATAACAAATGATTTAAAATAGCAGTTGTGACAGCTGTGTTGGGAAAATCCATCATTCTGCAGCAGATAATCAGCACGTTTTTTTTTTCCCCCGGAAAGAATATGGGACAGTCCTTGATGGCCTTGTTATTTTGATTAGGCTATTTTTTATATCATGCTGCTAAAGAAATTGTTGAGGAAAGACTGCTGAATCATTAGCAGTTCCTGCGTAGTCCTTCCAGTTATTTATTTTGCCTTCTGTTGGCAAATCTAAACCACATAATCCCCTGAGCTTTTTTTTTTTTTTCTTTTCAATTGGTTTTGTGGTGGGGAAAGGCCATGAGGCTACTCACTATACTCATGTTCACTTTGTAACCTTATTTTTCATTCACACAATTTTGTCCTTCCTGTCATTTGTTTGGGAGACTAGCAAAGAAACCATGTGATCCTTTAAGGCCACCAAGAGTGCAGCCATAAACAGCATCTCAGAATATTTGATGCTGTGCTACAGAAAAATGAGACAACATGCATAGTAGGATAGTTTTGGTCAGCATCATGTCTGTGCAGAGAAATAAAAACGTGGAGCTGGAGAGGACTTTTGAACATGAACAAATCATATCCTGCCTCCAAGAAGGCCTTTCCTTAACCAATCCTTGAGATGGAAAATAAGGACAGTTAGTTCCTATTGGAACTCTTCATTTTGTTTCCTTTCTTAGTCTTCAAGAATTCCAAAGGGACAGATGTGTTCAGCATGATCAGGTATTAGAGTTGTGTGGAAAAAAACTAGCCAAGGTTGGGAGATAGAATTGGAGAAAGAAAAAGGTACACACTAATCACACTCCACCTCATACCTTATTCATCAGGCAGAGTTATTTCTTTAAAACAATTGCAAAATAAGGAGATGCATCCTATTTGGGGAGACCCTCAAAAGAATTCCATAGACTTCAACTTTAGATGTGTTAAAGTAGGTTTAAGGGACTCTGATGTACAGCTGTTTGATGTTATTTGATAATTGACACATTACTAAGACTTACACTCTTTTTAATTCCCACAAAGTCTAGTATACTGCTCAGGTACAGACGTTGATGATTATATTACAATAAAGGGCAATCATTTGTCAAAGGGCACCAAAGAGGGTCTCTGAGTTAATATTTGCATGAACATCCCATCACCACAAATGTTTTGAAATAGCCAAGTGTAATCAAAATTAGCAAATTCTTTTTTAGGTGTGATTTTTTTTCTCCTTTTGGAGAAAACTTAGAATAGGCAGAAGCAGATATTTCTGGCTCTGAACAGATGAAGCCTGGAGTTGAATAAATACAATTTTGACTTTGACACCTTAAGATTGAAGGCATGTATGATCAAGCTGCTACAACTTTCAGAGCAAGCATTGTAAGTTAAAGGTACCAGAGGGAAAGGAGGTCCTTTTTCATCAAGCACAGTAACAACTGAGATAGTTGCTAGACTTTATAAATATTACTTAAAGCACAGTTGTTACTTTTGGACCACCATGAACATATATCATTTCACACATATCAGAGAGTAAATTTACATTCAAGTTGTTTAAAAAGCACAAATGAAACTCACATGATCAGGAGATGCTGTATGTTTCTAAGGCATCATAAGTTCCTTTTACCTAATTAATCTATTTGCATATTCATCTCCTTTTTTTATACTGGCAGCTGCCTAAGGGCAAATTCTCTCTTTGTATAATGATAGGGTCTAGTACATTGCCTGGCAAATTGTAGGCACTCATCAATCTCAACATGAAGTTCTAAAAGATATGCTGGGTACAGTGGAATATGCCTGTAATTCCAACCACTGAGAAGACTGAGGAAGGAGGACTGCAAGTTTAAGACCAGCCTTGGAAATTTAGGGAGACCCCATCTCAAAAGAAAAGTAAAACAAACAAATAAATAAGATAAAGAAATAAGGGGGCTGGAGATGATGTAGTCCAGTGGTACAATATCCCAAGGTCAACCCCCAGTACTGCAAAAATACATACATACAGACAGACAGACAGACAAAAGGAGAGGAGATGCATGGAGGGGTGTATACATGTATGTATGTGATGGTTGTGATGCAAATATAATTTTTATGCTAAAAAATAATATGGGAGAAAAGGGAATCACTGTCCAATGTGTCCTATGACACATTGGAGTTTTCACACAAAGGCTGTAAAATGCTGCAATGTAGCAAATTACTTTCAGTATTCAAAGGTGATTATTTATCCATAGGTGAATTTCCTTTTTTTTTTTTAACCCTATAATCATCTTTCTGATTCCATTGTGAGGCCAAATTTCCTCACAAATTTCTTCAGTTAAAAAGCCCCAAGGGAAAAGATATGAACTAGTTAAGGTCAGAGGGCATGAATGTAAAAACACAGTAGAAGCTTCTGCCAAATTGGCATAAGTTGGGATTGTCAGATCACATTACCTAATTTTCATCCATGTTTCCTCCAGCTTCTACTCTGGTACCTTCTTCACTAAATGTATGATACAACCTTGTAGTTATATCAACTATGGAAACATGAGATGGAGAAAGTTCCAATTACTTCACCTCTTCTTTTTCCCTCAGCAAACCCCCAAATTACACAAATCTTGATTAGTTTAATTTAAAAAATGCATACTGGACCATATTTGTAGGTAAAAAGTTACAGAAATACCAGAATGATATTTTTCCTCTTCCAGAAATTTGGGACAGTGATGGTCATGCTTTTTAGAACTGTGAAAGGAGTCAGAAAAGGGCCTTCGTGGTTTCAGTGGCTTTGTAGCTTAGAAACTGCTCTGTAATTTGAGGCAGTTATGTGTGCTTATACAGCAGCTTCAACTGAGTTTTATTACCCTTGTTATTACTCCTGCAGGGAAAAATAGGTCAAAATATGTAGTAACATCATTTGCAAATGGAGCTGCTCTGTATTGTGCTACAACACTGAAATAGGAAATTGCACAAAATGGACAATAAAGTTCAATGTTTTGGGCTGCAGGATACAAACAACATTTGCTGGAAATAAATGAATAGCTATACTAGGTAACTAAGGGAAGACCTCAATATACTGCTATATGATAAGGCAGATCTACAGGGGACAAAAACACAAAGCCAGTGATGGTCACTATTACAAATGGGTGACATTTAAAAATCTTCAATGCTGGTCATTAATTAAATTTAAAGCCACAGGCTGTAACTGCACATACTGAGGAAAGTATATAGGAAATCCATGAGACTAGGGCTCACCCCATCTCAAACCCTCTGATAACTTATCTGAGCAGCTTTATTTGTCAAAGTATAGTAGAATCATAATCAAGTGGGAGATGACTATGTAGTGCTCCATGTATGAAGCTTCCCCACAATGACATTTTTTCCTCTGACAGACCACATACTACAAAAATGAAAGGGAACTCAGCTACCAGAAGTTGATTTGGTATTCAGAAATTTTTCCCACTCAGTGCCTAATTTTCTTTCCCACTGTCACAGATTTTACTCTTTTATTCTTGTAGATTTATGTGGGTTTAACCATATAGCAGTGTATTTGAGGGCATGGGCAAGGGCAAAGAAATAAATCCTCCATAAACAAACAGGTTTCAGTGCACGACCAGTAATGCTTCATTGCAATATCACAATGTTTTAATATAGATTACTTTCTTTATGCAATGCATGAATCAGTTAACACTCATGCAAAATACATTCCATCTGCTCAGACAGATGTAAGCTGCAGTGTTTCCAATTCTATCAAACAGTACAACTAGCTGAAAGAGAAGAACTGACACAGATGGGCAATGTGTGAGGAGAGGGGCTCAAATTAAAGAAAAAGCTTTGTCTTAAAATCTACCCAGTTGAAAAATGAGATTCTCATTTCATCCATGTTTGTCCACAGAGGTACAAACACAACAGCCCTTAGTATGAAGTAAGATGGAGAGGGTGTTTATGTCTTAGTGAAAACATTTTAACTAAATGGAATCACCTTTGGAGTCTGTAGCAGTGATTAGCAATTCTAAAAGGCTCTTTAAGTAACATAAGCTTGACTAGGATAGATGCTAGGACTAAGGGAAATGTCAAGGGGTATGGAAAATGGAAAAGGAAAGAATAATAGGAAAAGTGAGAGAAGAGGTAGATTGTTGAAGAAAGATTGGGAGAGGAGGAGATGATGAGAAAAAGATGACTTCTATTAAAGATTGGCCAAGAAATGCCAACAATAGCCCTAAAGATCTTATCAGTATTCTTAAGCACAGATGTAAAAGATAAAAGTAATAATTTCCATCAATATCAAGTTGCTAACTTATCATTAATTCCCAAGCTTTTCCAAACGCAAATACTTAAATATTGTCATTGTAGCCCCTAGGGTTGACTGAAAGCTACTTCTCCATGTAGTCTGTTGCCTTGAATTCACCTTTGTGGACAATGCTCAAAGTCCGATATTCCCTCTCTTAACACTCTACCTTGCTGCCACATTCACTCAGCATCCTATATGGCCTTTGCAAAATCAAAGCACTAGCTAACTTTCCCTTATTAATGAATTACAAAGGTCTTGCCCTGTGATCTCTTCTCACCAAGGTACTACATATGCATTTCAACTGGAGCTGTTTTTGTTCAAGAGTCTTTTCAACTCTAAGGAATTACCAATGCACTGGGAATTTCAGCACATTTTGGCTACTATAATGTTGGATTTGCCCATGACAGGCTGTTTACCTCAAGCCTACAGAAATGAAATTTGAAGAGTGTGAAATCAACTGAAAGGCTCAGAGTTAAACCCCTCAATGTACCCCTCACAGTTGTGTGGCAGACAGAGGTGGGAGGAGGTAAGGGATGGTAGGATATAGCCACATAGAGAATGTCAAGCTGAAAACTGCAACATGATAAAAGGAGAATGGTGCTAGTGCATAGGAAAATAGAATCTAAGCACAGAAAGATCCTAGTTAAGGTTACCAAAAATTAACAAAAAATAATCACCGAGGCAAGTAAAATCTGGCAAAGCAGGGTGGAAGACTAAGGCAACAATCAAGATGAAAACACATATTCATGCAAAATATTTGGTTATGTCAATAAAGTATGTATATGTGAATATATGCATGTAAGAGGATTTCATGGGGGCAACAATGTGTGTGGGCAGCAGTAACAATTCCTGAATTCAGAGGGAAGGAAGGAAAGAGATTTTAAAAAGGATCATGGAAGTCTGTAAAAACTAACTTTGTCTTATAAACAACTTGGACATTTTTCCTTCCTTCTTCAAATAGTTTTTCCTGCTGTAATTCTTCATATTTGTTTATCTCCACTGCTCAATGGCACAGATTCATCAGAGCCAAGACTAATCCCAAGACTCCCTTCCTATTTTAGTGCTCTTTTTATTCTTTCACACTATCTCCTATTAAAGAGGAAGTTATCATCTGTGGGCTAGGCAGCAAGCAAGATATTGTAAAAATTAGTTTCTACTTTTAAGGAACTTTTAATAAAGTAATAAAGATTTGCAAATGACATGATTCTATACCTAGAAGACCCAAAAGGGTCTACAAAAAAACTACTAGAACTAATAAATGAATTCAGCAAAGTGGCAGGATATAAAATCAACACGCATAAATCAAAGGCATTTCTGTATATCAGCGACAAAACTTCTGAAACGGAAATGAGGAAAAACACTACATTCACAATATCCTCAAAAAAAATAAAATACTTGGGAATCAACCTAACAAAAGAGATGAAAGATTTATACAATGAAAACTACAGAACCCTAAAAAGAGAAGTAGAAGAAGATCTTAGAAGATGGAAAAATATACCCTGTACATGGATAGGCAGAACTAACATAATCAAAATGGCGATATTACCAAAAGTTCTCTATAGGTTTAATGCAATGCCAATCAAAATCCCAACGGCATTTCTTGTAGAAATAGAGAAAGCAATCATGAAATTCATATGGAAAAATAAACGACCCAGAATAGCAAAAACAATGCTAAGCAGGAAGTGTGAATCGGGAGGTATAGCGATACCAGACTTAAAACTATATTACAGAGCAATAGTAACAAAAACAGCATGGTACTGGTACCAAAACAGGCGGGTGGAACAATGGTACAGAATAGAGGACACAGAGACTAATCCACAAAGCTACAACTATCTTATATTTGATAAAGGAGCTAAAAGCATGCAATGGAGGAAGGATAGCATCTTCAACAAATGGTGTTGGGAAAACTGGAAATCCATATGCAACAAAATGAAACTGCATCCCCTCCTCTCGCCATGCACAAAAGTTAACTCAAAGTGAATCAAGGAGCTAGATATCAAATCAGAGACTCTGCATCTGATAGAAGAAAAAGTTGGCTCTGATCTACATATTGTGGGGTCGGGCTCCAAATTCCTTAATAGGACACCCATAGCACAAGAGTTAATAACAAGAATCAACAAATGGGACTTACTTAAACTGAAAAGTTTTTTCTCAGCAAGAGCAACAATAAGAGAGGTAAATAGGGAGCCTACATCATGGGAACAAATTTTTACTCCTCACACTTCAGATTGAGCCCTAATATACAGAGTATACAAGGAACTCAAAAAATTAGACAAAAAGATAACAAACAACCCTATCAACAAATGGGCCAAGGACCTGAACAGACACTTCTCAGAAGAGGACATACAATCAATCAACAAGTACATGAAAAAATGCTCACCATCTCTAGCAGTCAGAGAAATGCAAATCAAAACCACCCTAAGATACCATCTCACTCCAGTAAGATTGGCAGCCATTATGAAGTCAAACAACAAGTGCTGGAGAGGATGTGGGGAAAAGGGTACTCTTGTACATTGCTGGTGGGACTGCAAACTGGTGCGGCCAATTTGGAAAGCAGTATGGAGATTCCTGGGAAAGCTGGGAATGGAACCACCATTTGACCCAGCTATTGCCCTTCTCAGACTATTCCCTGAAGACCATAAAAGAGCATACTACAGGGATACTGCCACATCGATGTTCATAGCAGCACAATTCACAATTGCTAGACTGTGGAACCAACCCAGATGCCCTTCAATAGATGAATGGATAAAAAAATGTGGCATTTATACACCATGGAGTATTACACAGCACTAAAAAATGACAAAATCATGGAATTTGCAGGGAAATGGATGGCACTAGAGCAGATTATGCTTAGTGAAGCTAGCCAATCCCTAAAAAACAAATACAAAATGTCTTCTTTGATATAATGAGAGCAACTAAGAACAGAGCAGGGAGGAAGAGCAGGAAGAAAAGATTAACATTAAACAGAGACATGAGGTGGGAGGGAAAGGGAGAGAAAAGGGAAATTGCATGGTAATGGAGGGAGACCCTCACTGTTATACAAAATTACATATAAGAGGTTGTGAGGGGAATGTGAAAATAAACAAGGAGAGAAGTGAATTACAGTAGATGGGGTAGAGAGAGAAGATGGGAGGGGAGGGGAGGGGAGGGGGGATAGTAGAGGATAGGAAAGGTAGCAGAATACAACAGTTACTAATAGGGAATTATGTAAAAATGTGGATGTGTAACTGATGTGATTCTGCAATCTGTATTTGGGGTAAAATTGGGAGTTCATAACCCAGTTGAATCTAATGTATGAAATATGATATGTCAAGAGCTTTGTAATGTTTTGAACAACCAATAAAAAAAAGATATTCAAACCACCATACATCAGAGACAATGTGGCAGTTTTCATAATAAGTGTACAAATGAGAAGTTATATGGTCCTAAAAGTATTAAAATTGTATTCAAGATTTTCCTATGGAAAATATTTCATAAACCCAGATCAGCATTCTCAAAAAACAGTGAAATTCTTTATATTTGACTCCTTTTAAGTCCTTGGCATATATTTTAATCCATACATAGTTGCAATATTCTGTGAGGTCAGAGGGTCTGTTTGACATCACATTGATTCAAATGCCATCTACTACTGCTATAATCATAAGCTTCCTAATGGTCCATAATTAAATTCCATGGAGCAAATTGCTAATATTTGGGAGACATAAAGAAAACAACTGGTATATCAAGATGACTGAATTTTTCATTTTTAAATTTTAATCCATAATGGAAAAAAATTTCATAAATAAAGATTATCCTGAATACAATTGTAGGCACAAATGTTTTCTGCTGTAAACAATCCAATAAAAATTAACAGAAATCCTGCTTACTAAGCACTATTCTAGGAAATGTGTGATAGAAAATTTAATATAACAATGCAGTCAAAGAACTTGAAAATACTGTTATCTTAAAAAGATTAAACTTCTTACAACTTTGTCTACTATACTAATTTGCTTAATGATACTTTTTCTAAGCATTCAACAAATATTTATGAATTATGCTATGGAGTTAATATTATTACTTGATATGCATAGAAGGTCAAAATATTCTTTTCATCTTTAATTGAAAATATTATAGGATTAGATAAATATCTGATAGAATAAATACTTGGAGCTTACATTATAATAGTATTTTGACTATAAATTATTTAGATATATTTGTGATCAATTACTAAATGCATATGTGTTTTTGTTACATTTTATGGTGGCTTTCCAATTTGTATTGAATTTTGGTCAGAAGGTAAGTTTTGTAGGATTTGGATTCTTTGGTATCTAAGATTTTCTTTATTGCTAAACATATAACTGTTTTTTTTAAAAATGTCCCTTATGTGCTGGAAAAGAATGCTTGTTTTCTACTTGTTGACTGAAAAATTCTACATATTCTGAGACAAAGTTCGCTGATTGCATTTGTTTGTGTGTCTCTCTCTCTGTGTGCATGGTGCTGGGGATCAAACCCAGGGCTTGCACATGTTATAAACATTTTATCACTAAGTTACATAACCCACCTGCTGATTGTATTATTATTTTTTCTGACAATTTTATCAATAAAATTCTGAGACATACATCAAAGTATTTCACTGTGATTCTGAATGTACTGTAACAATATCTCCTTGTAATTGTAGCAACTTTGCTTTGTTTATTTTTAGGATGTATTTTAGGTGCATATGCATATAAGTCTGATACTTTGATAATTTATCAATAGATTTCCATCCAATTTATGCAATATACCACTTATTTTTGGTAATAAAAGTAAATTTGAACCAAAAATTCATTGAAGATTTTCTAACAGAGATTAAAACCTACCATTAAAAATCTCCTGACTTTTATTGTTTACTTTTTGCTTTGTTTTGTTTAATGAACCTGACTTACATTGTTTGAGAACTATGCCACCTATAGCACTCCCAAGGCTAAGCAGTGCTTCTTGGGACAAACTTCAAAAATAAAATAATTAACTGATCTGGTTTTCCCCTGAATTGACTGACAAATGACTGTGTTGGCAGAATATAAATGAGGAAAAGATTATCTTTCTATAACAATGCCTATAAGGCTGCACACCAATATCTTTTTCCTAAATAAGTCTTCAGTTGATATAGAAATAGAACTAGAGGCCTGCAATGAAAGGTGGTAAAGACAACCGGTTTATTTTTGTCCTTTCCTCCAATTTTATTTATTAATACAAAATATTCAATTCCTTTTAGGCCTAAATTACAATATGTACATAAATAGCAGCACAGCAGCCTCACCGCTTGTTTAGGTTTAGATGTTTGTTGCACCCTTAACAGCTGCTGAAACAGATTGCAGGGTTTTCACTTCAGCAAGGTAATTACAAACAAGATTCCACTTTCTCGCTAAGTCTACTTCTGGGATTTCACACAACCAGAGTACTCCTACTCCAAGGATCTTAGCTGGTGTTGCAGTCATGAATCACTGTCAGTGTAGAAATTTAAAGGTTGCTCTTATTTATCAAATGCTATACCTTTATTTCATTGTGAACTTTGAAAAGCCAGAGAATGTCTATACCCTTTATGGGGCAGAATCTGGAAGAGTGAGTCCATCATCCTTCTTAAGGTGGATTCTAACCCAGGAAAAATTAAGCATATCCTCCATGGAATACACCTCTACCTTTTACTGCCTCCTCTCCCACTTTCCCTACCTGCCAGCTCAGATGTGGACTTAGTAAGTTTGCTGAAGTGGAACCCTTGCAATGCATTTCTTTTTTCTGGTGGGGGTACTGGGGATTGAACTCAGGGATACTTGACCACTGAGCCACATCCCCAGCCTTATTTTGTATTTTATTTAGAGACAGGGTCTCACTGAGTTACTTAGTGCCTTGCTTTTACAGAGGCTGGCTTTGAACTCATGATCCTCCTGCCTCTGACTCCTGAGCTGCTGGGATTACAGGTGTAGGCCACTGCACCCTCTGCAATACATTTCAATAGCTGCCAACGTGGGCAACAAACATTTAAATACAGAGAAGATTCATAGCTGAAAACAAATATCAAAAGAAATCTTGAAGGTGCAAAACATCTCTCAAGATAATACTGAAGAAAAACATAAAAAGCTGTGTAGAAGGGCAGAAGAAAGGTGAAGAGAGTAGGGAGAAGAGACTAATTTTCCTGTGTGAGTGACAAAATAGGGTAGGGCTGTAGGTTTAAATAAATTTAATTGAATTTCATTAAAGCAGGGTTTACTTAATATCAGGAGAATGGCCAAAGTGCAGAGCCAGAAAATCAACAGGACTGGCCCTTTTTTCCCCAAATCTGTGAAATTTACCTAGTATCTAAGCAAAATTCAAACCCCCTAAATGACTGTGTTTTACTTTCACAAACTAATTCTGTCCTGACCAAGCTTTGTCATACAGAAAGTAAAAATTAATCATCAAATTAAACAAATAAGACTTAGTATTGAGAAACACATGCACAGTGTTTCTCACTTAATATGTATAAATTCACTTTTTGACAATTTGATTTCTTTGCCACCAGTTAAAACAATTACCTTTCTGTAAACTTCTTCCTATAATGATGTGTTCAGTGGTTTTCAATTAATATTTCTTTTAATTTTTTTTTAAAATATTTATTTATTTTTTTGTTGTAGTTGGACACAATATCTTTATCTTATTTTTATGTGGTGCTGAGGATCGAACCCAGGGCCTCACATGTGCTAGGCAAGCGCTCTACCGCTGAGCCACAATCCCAGCCCCTCTTTTAATTTTAAATGACCTAACTACTTCAAGCTCAGACAATTGGGGGAGTATTTCCTAAGAAATAGAGTCACTTTGCTAAACTGGCAATTTTTTTTTATTAAATTGGAAAATTTTAACTGAGCAGCAGCCCATACATGTCTCAATATCTCTTCTATGTTTATGAAACTATTAGACTACACAGTATTAAAGGATCAATAACTGTTTTTGTTTGTGTTTCATTTAGATTTTTGATGTTAAGTAGCATCAAGAATTGTGGGATCCTTATGGGGATTATACACTCTGCTCTTTATTTGAATAAATTAAGCTGGAAATATCTATGCAATATACATTGTAAAAATTGTTACAGTAGAGGGGAAAAACCTTTTAAATAAAATTTTTAAGTCTCCATTCAAATTACAACTTTATATTGTTTTTCATGTATTGAATGACCTTGGGTAAGGGAAGCTTAGGACATACTCCTCAAAAACAAGTCACTCACCTGGGTTAACCAAATTGACTTCAACAGCAAAAGCCTTTAAGAAGTGCTTTGGCAGAAGCCCTGCTTATATAGTTTTTTATAAATCACCAATAAGATATCGAGAAATGGCAATCTGAAAAATGTCAGGGTAATAAATGAAAGGTTCCTAGATTGAATTCTGAGATTGCTAGCCTCCTTCTTTTATCTGGAAATGTATAAAAAGTGCACATGCTCCTGAACAGACTCAGCTTAAGCCAATTGGGCATTATTACATTTGAAGGGGAAGAATAGTCTTTTACACAAAATAACAGAAATGATTGAAGAGATGAAAGATGTGATGGGGATATGGCTCAGTGGTAGAGTGCTTGCCTGGAAAGCATGAAGCTATGGGTTCAATTCCCAGCACACCACACACACACACACACACAAAGATGAATCTTTCTAAGAAAGTTTGGAGGTTTTACACGGCTATGCTGAAAGAAGAGAAAGTTCAATATCTTTGAATATACAGGTCAGGGCTGCTGCTGTAATTATAGGAAACTTATCAAAAAGAAATAGGCTGGGGCTGGGGCTCAGTGGTAGCACACTTGCCTGGCATGTGTGAGGCACTGGGTTTGGTTCTCAGCACTGCATATAAATAAATAAAATAAAGGTCTATCAACAACTTAAAAAGTTTAGAAAAAGAAATAGGCTTTACTTAAAGCAGGAAGGGTTTTTGACTAACCATCAGCAAGAATTTCTTGACAATTACAATGATAACACACGGGAATAGGTAACTTACTTTTCATAGAGACCTTAATTTTGTATATATGTGTGTTTTTGCAACTAACCTAAAAGTCTGAAATTTGGCTAGTCTAAAGAGGGTATTGCAACAAAACTTTATTCTCTAATAGTAATAGTAGTCAACTGCCTTCTTATGT